TTTTGTCAAATAGTTGAGGAAGAAATTAACTATCCATCATTGCATTTAATTTAAAACAACAACAGATGTTCTTCGGGTGCTGCAAAAACAGCTTAAACATATATTTGTTATTAAACTTCTATTGAATAACAAACGCTGGTTTATTTTAGGCCAAAGCTGCTAAGAGACAAGGCAGAAGTCACCTACAGCTTCCAGTCAGAGGTTTCAGACCAATAGACTGGGTCAGATTTGCGTTTTGGTTCAGTCTATAGATCTATCCCTGCTTTGGGATCATTTCCCTATTTGATTCTCCAGTTTGGTCCAAGCTCCAGCTGTTGGACAGATGGACTTACCTGCAACTAGAATTCTTTTGCATACAAGTTCATAGTCGCCTCAATAACTGAAAGGTTTTGTGGTCCTGTGACTTTGATACCATCTCATATCATCAGCCCTCCAACACTGTATTAAACAGTTGGTTTGATGTGTTTTCATGATGTATAGGCTTTATTTGTTTTACTCTTAACATGATGCTGTAAAGTATGGTCATAGTTTTCCGCCTTTAATTTCACCATAGGAGCTTTGTAGAGACCTTGTGCCTTATCCCTCTTCTTCAAACACCTTTATCCTGCATAAAAAGGCTTGTACAGCCTAAGCCAGGGTTTTGCACAGTTCGAATTGGGACTGAATTTGCTGGGATGTCAGTTTTGAAAAGACTGGCGGCTATCATAATTTTTTTCCACTTGTCAATAATCTTTCCCTCAGTAGACTAATTAACTTTGGACTGTTTGGGAGTTGCCTTAATGACCCTTTCCAGATATTTCAGCAGTAACAGCCTTTTCTCTAAAGTCACTGCTGTCTTACCTTCTTGGCACTGTGTTAATACACAAATGCACTGTAGTTGCACTGCAACAAACTGGCAAATCTCCTGTACTAGATTAACACTTTGCTGCAGCCTGTACCTCCAAAATTACTTTAAAAAAGCAGGTAAGTACTTTATTTTTTCAATGGCTTGAATTGTATTCCCTCAAAGTCAACTTTAAGAATTCAGTGCAGTATTTCATTATAGAATTTTTATTAGACTACATCTGAAACAAAAACAAAGAAATAAGATACACAGAGGAGAAGGAGGTTGAGCCAGTACTTGATAAGCAGTTTGAAGATTAATAATAAAGATATAAAGTAATAAAATATTGGAGGCTCCTCAGTAACATGGCAAGCTGCTTAAATTATCCAAGTTATTGGAGATCCATAACAGCATCCAAACGCAAGACTTTTTTTTGTTGCTATTAATTGATATGAGATGCTATATTTTGACGAGCACATAAACATTTTATTCCATAAAGGGAGATGCTTCTTTGTATTCATGGATGAATAGCCACATTTTAACAGCAGGGTGCAACAAAATGGAAGGTTTATTTTGCAATAAAAATGAATGGCATCTTTATGAATTCTGCAGATAGGTATTAATTTATGGCTAACCTTGTTTCTTAAGACAATAAGAGAAAAACACATCTTGTGTGCAGTGGTATACTGGTGCAGAAGTACAAAATACATTTATGTGTTGTTCTAGATACATCTGTTTAGATTGAATTTTTGTTTAGTGACATTGGACTGAATTATAGGATTGCTGATTTTATGCTACTGTGTTGGATCTTGAGTGCTCTATTACTGTGCCTTTAATATTGTTATTTAAGACTGGATGGGTTGCTCTTTAAATGAAGCTTTTTAAGTCTGTGGCAAATGGCCAACAAACTGACTCTGAAACAGTTATCCTGGTCTTTGTTGGAACTCTGCAGCATTACTGTGATTCCTTGTACCATGGAGTTAGTAAAACCTGCCCCTACTGTGCCTTCGGCTGTTGTGAAACACTACTGCATGTATTTTAACAGAAACACTGAAAAAAAGAGTGTATAAGTCCTATTTTGTCCATTCTGCACCTGCCCAACTTACAGAACATTTTAAAACTTTTCTCAAATTTGTTTTGAAGTCTCTAAGTTGTCTTACCCTCTTAATTTCTCTCTGAGACCCCGCACCTGCATCACCTTATTTTGATTTCTTTCTTGATTTCAGCCTGGCTTTTATTTGATTTGTCTTTAACAATGGCGTCTTTATCGGACCTTTCCAATTAATATCAATTTCATAAAAAATGAAGGATGGTTTTACACTCATGTTCCTTGAGCTTGGTGTTCACCTTCAATCTCTTTTATCTGGTCTCATATGCTGCTATTTGTATTATCCGTCTCTTTAAGTTCTAATCAAATTTCCCTCCTTGGCCACCACCAGGGAGGTTGGCTACAGTCCCATGGATCTTAAATTAGTGGGAATAAAATTGTGTAAATGTTCTCCCAGAAACATCAAGCTGCTTGGAGAAGGCCTTATAGTCGTTACTTTTAACATGCTTGTCTATAGCTGTCTTTCTATTCTCCTGGGAAAACTCTTTCCTTTGCTTCATGTGGTCCATGTTGAGTGTGGTACGCACCATGTGACCAAACAGCACAGTGGCTACCTGTAGCCATATATATAGGCCCACTGATTAATTGCAAGATTGTAGACACCTTTATTGCTAATTAGTGGACACCTTAATTTAACATGTCTCTTTGGTCACATTATTTTCAGTTTTTTTGTCCAGGCTTTTTTATGGAGCTTATTATTTTAAAGTAATGTTGAAAATCAATGTCTGAATTTCATTTGTTCATTTTCATAAATTACTTTACTCAGATTCAAGGTATTTTGGTGACCATTATGGGTTTATCTTTAATTTATTGAGGGGTACAAACAATTTTTCCACATGCGTATAATCCATAAAATCCTTTTTGAGTACAAACTTACTTTATTAGCAGCTTTACTGAAATATGTATATATCTTATATATTTCCTCTAATTGTTATAATTGTACTGTATTTTGTTTTGTACATTACTGTGTATTTTGTTGAAATAACCTCCTTGTGAGTAACTATATCTGACACCAGTCAGTAAAAATGTGCTGGGTTAATAAACTTACTTTACAGGAAACAGAATTTTCCCTATATACAGTTTGACTTAAAGTCACTTCAGGTAAGTTTCTGGCCCAGGGCTGCTCCCAAAAGATTAAAACAAATAAACTTTAGCTCCTCTGTGGATGACTACTGCTACTTATCGAGTGGTAATGGTCTTTCCCAGAATGATAAAAGGATTTCCAATACAACAAATGGTTTTTCAATCCCAAGTAAACCAAAAAAATCTTCTCATGTTGGTCTAAACTCAATAATGGCATTAAGAAGAGAAATTCAATTGTTACCAGAAAAATATCTGCTATCAGGTACTGCAGGAACACACACACTTCTCATATATATTGCAAAACTAGAGCCAGGCCATATATAGCAGCAGATATATATGGAGGAAGTCCTTTTAAATGAAGGTATATATATATATATATATATATATATATATATATATATATATATATATATATATATATACATACATACATTCTTTATGATATTATGTAAGCTATGTATTTTTTTTTCCATTTTCCTCACGTCTGATATTTTTGTGCAACATATATATGAAAGAAGCTGCTTTAAGCCCACATTTTGTGAATTTTTTTAAACCTGTTTTGATAGACAATAGCTGCAGAGGGAATGCTAAAGCTCTGAGAAATGTTCATACAGGCCCATTACTTAAATGCAGAAAGGCAGCAGCTAGAACAAACAGATTGTACAACAATCAAATCCCCAAAACTCAGCAGGGGAAGAGAAATGTATCTGAAATTTCACAGCGCATGTTCAAATATACAAAGGAAGAGAGGAAAATTGATTATGGTTTTGTTTTTGTCTCCCGTTTTTTTTTATCAACCTTGTTTTTCTACAGAAATAATAAAAACAAGCAGTTCTTTCTGTTCTCGCTGTTCCAGTGAGGCGTGTTCTGGATGCCTTATGTTGGAAGGTAGGAGGCAAACCAATCAACCTTTAAAGTGAACTTAAAAATTACCCAATTATAACAACAATTTCATGCTCACAAATATCCCTGTGAGTCGTCTCTTCAAAGTATCTTCCTTTCCTAAAGAATAACCCGCCCACAATGTCTAAACACACAATTTCTCACATTTTTTAATTGTAACTTCAAACCAAGCCCATACAGAGGGTTGCTTTTGAGGCTGCTGTATAGGAAAAGTTTCCAGTTAGCAAAAAGTTCCCTGCTAATTTTTGTACATACATTTTAAAAACAGAAATAAATACGAAAGTAAACTATGATTTTAAGAAAGGTGTTACTGTGGTGGGCAGGAAGCTGGAAAAAACTGGAAATAAATAAATAAAAGGATGGTCAGGGCAAAAAAGAATAGAAATTAAGTCTCAAGGAAGAATAGGTAGCAGGGGACAAAGGGAAGGATTGAAGAAGAGATTGAAAGAAGGAAACGGTAAAATGAAGTAAAAAGGTACGTAAAAGGGGCCAGAGTAAAGAAAGGGAGGGTGAAAACTACAAAAGAAAGGAAGAAGAAAAGGAAGGACATAAGGAAAGGTGAAAATAAGACAAGAATGGGGGGATTAAACAACACCAGGCGAAAGGAAAGAAAAAAGGAATTAATACCATAGGAAAGGGAAGGAGTAGGGAAAGACAGTGAACACAACAACGGGAAGGAGGGAAAAAATCACCAATGGGAGAAAGGAAATATGGTAGCAAACTTCACAAGGAGAGAGGAAATAAATAAAAAGCATACATTAGAAAGTAAGGTAAGTCTGTGTGAATGAACTACAGAAGGAAAGGGGGACTAAGGAAGGTAGGAAAGAATGATGAATGAGAGAAATGGGGAATTCTGCCCAATTCTCCGAAATGAGATAACTTAGATGAATAAAACATGAATTAAAAAAAAGGAAAGATTTTTAAGGTTGTGTTGCTTTTGATCACCTCATGTTTCCAATGGTATTCTGTTAAAGAAAGAGAGCCGATAACCTGGGGAACACTCAGCACATTTGGATGGTAACAATTCCTCATCCTACCTGAAGTTATAGACAACAGGAACAACAGCAGGAAAGTTGTGCTCACCTCTGCAAGTCTGCAAGTGGTCCACAAAGCTGTGTTCAGGACATCCAGCTGTGCAGACGCCATGTTGGAGGTGAACATACTGCGGCAGAAGAACCTCCTCTGGTTTAAGGCAGCCAAGGCAGTCTGAGGCCAGAGGTCCCACACAGGAACGGCAGGAGGGATGGCAGTCTGAAAACATAATGGATCAAATTAAATGGCAATAGAACCTCCTGACCATAGTTTTATTTTTTTTATGAAAATAAATCCTCACTGTGGCAGGTGTTGTCCTGAGGGTACAGACCCTCCCCACAGGACTCCACACACTGGCCCTGGTGGAGCAGAAGTCCAGACGGGCAGGAGATACACTGGGAAACTGAGTGACCCCAGCATGAAGCACATGAGCTGTGACAAGCTGGGGAAGAATAGGGGACAAAGATTTATAGAAAATATGATAGAAAAACATCTTTATTAGCCTTACTACCAAATGTGCATTTGATCCACAGAATTCCACAGATTTAATTGTAGAAAAATATTTTCTCACCTCTGCATCTGCTGTGGTTGTCCATGTAATGCTGAGTTGGACACTGAGTAATACACTTCCCATGATGTAAAGCAGTCCCGACGGGGCAGCTCATGCATTTGGGGTTGTCAGGGAAACAAGAGGCGCAGGATGAATCACAAGCTGTGAACCAAAGAAAGTAAATCCTAATGGCTTCATGTTGGCATCATATAAATAGCCTCATAGTCCATTAAAATTAACACTGTATCAAGGAGAAAGAAAATATTTTAAGCAGTCAGACTCCAAAAAGCACTTTATTCTTAAAGCAGAGCTATGGAAGGTATTATGTTCTGAATTAAACATCATCCAGAACTTCTGATGAAGTTATTATGGATAGAAAAGAACAAAACTAAGTAATCAAACTGTCTAGCAACCGGAAAGAAAGGACCAATATGGATATGCAAGAGCATCTAAAGTCCCTGTCACACCTTGATGATTTATCCAGTGTATGTCTGATGTCCAAGAATCTTCTAAAACGCTGGCATACGTTGAACTTTCCATGTATTTTTTCAATTTTTGGTGTATATATATAGACGTGCTTGCCGTATGTCGACGTCTACCAGCGTGTTTTAGCATGCTCATAACTTACACAAAACGTACCCATAACTTATCCAATGTGTGCCAACATTTTGCCAGATTTTTCATCAGTCAGCCATATGCTGGCTAAATCGTGAAGGTGTGACAGGGGCTTTAGTGTATAATTAAGTCAAGTTATTACAGTAGCTAAATATAATGTCAATCACTAAATCTAAGGCATTCATTAAATACAGAATTATATTTCAAACTATGTTTCAACAGAAAATGAAACCTTAAATGTAAGTTTCTTTTAAAACATTTTGAATTACATTAATAGAAAGGATATTTTTCAAATAGAAAAACATGTTTCTGGGGCTCCTAATGCATGTGAATGTGGATATCCTTGTTAGTACCTTATCCTGTAGTGCAATTATGCCCTTCATTCAAATTTCTGTGAATATGCTTGGATACAGCCCAATTTAAAAAGCTAACTTTTTTAGTGGAGACCTTTTTTGGCTTCTCCTCCTTGGGGAAGGTTCCCTAACTGTCTACTGGACAACTGCTGAGTCAGAAATGTCCCACAGGATTTTATAGGCTAGGGGTCTCCAACTCCATTCCTAACGCTCTACTGCCTTGAAGTCTTAGATGCATCCCTACTCAGCAAACCTGAATGAGCTGCTCTTGCCCATGCTTTTGTCAAACTTGAGATATTGCTGAGAAGATAATTAATTATTTGATGCAGCTGTGTTAGATCTGGTGAAGGGCAGCAGATCACGAGGACTGAAGTTGGAGCCCCTGTAGTAAACTAGATTTTTCTATTACAAATACATGCTTTTTGAACACATCTTATGTTATTAAAAAACAAAAACACAAAGCCATAATCTAAACCAGGAGAGAAATGTTAAAATAGTTTTTATATTTTATTTTATTCTCAGCCTCTCTGCCGATTTGTAAACTTTAATCCTTCATTGCAAAAGGACTATGAATAAGTCTTGCCAGTATAGGACAAAAACAGCAGAATTTAGCAAACAATAGATAAATAAATGCTGATGGAGCCAACAAAATGAAATGAATTAATAAGAATTCAAAGCCAGCTCACAAAAACAACATAAAACACCCACCGCTCATCCATCTGGCTCTGAGAATTGCTGGACTGAAATCAAGTAGTGAAACCCCCTTTAGGTTGCCCAGGAAATTGACATTTCAAACTCATCTCAAAGCAGGAACTGTTTCATATGGTTTTGACCTTTTTCTCCTAAAGCCTCCCCTGGTTCTGACATTTTTTTGAAAAAGGAAACCTCACTGAGTTCAAGACTTCAATGGGAAAGGAGCTCCTTCAACACTCCTCAGGGTGGTTTTGACTACAGAAAGAGCTTAGCAATGAGTTCCCAGTAACCCTCAGGGAAGCTTATTCCTGCACCTTTATTATCATCTCACCCACTTAAAATAGAAGCTATCCATATTCATACTGGAGCTCTTTATCCTGAATCCTCATTAATGCACAAAGGACCCAGTAATTGTTGTTGTTTTTTTCTTAGTTTGTCAACTGTGGCTGACTAATCCTTTAAGCTCAAAAGAGATCCTTGAAAATAAATCCAAACAAACCCTCACCTAAAGTTTCATGCAACCAATGAAGCTTTTTGCCTGAAATGCTGTTTTCACCTTATTGTATTTGGCACGTCCACACTGTTTGACATCTAATTTGTCGAATAAAATATCCATTTTCATTTGCCAGAGGAAAAACGAAACGAACCGTATAACAAAAACTGCATGGTTAATCTTTGTGAAACTAAAAGTAATGACATCCTGTGAGTTTGGAGCTTTCATAAAAATATTTATGAACCAGTAAAAGCTTATCTATTAAAAAAGGATTTATGTGAAGTAATGCAAAACGTTTTTATTAGGTTTAAATATGTGGGAAAAACAGTTAAAGCAACAACATTTAACAGGCTCTGTTTGTAGGCAGCAGGATTGATGTTTAGTCAAATTGTAACAGGGGTTAGATTTTTGGGGTCAGCTTTTATTAATGCTCTTCGTTAATCAAATTCATGTCATTAATTTTTTGTAAAAATGTCTAATGTCTAAGCTACAAAAAAATTTTTTTCAGCTGCAGGAGGTTTGAGATTTTGTTCAGCTCTTCCAAAACAGGTAAATTGCCAGAAGTGGTGCAATATGGGGACATCATGAAAGGGGAACCCATATGGGAAGAGGTGTCTTTGTTCCTGGTTGAAACCCTCCCCCCTAAACATTTAAGAACAAACGATTACTCTATAGTGCCAATGGTAATATTTCATCATATATGTCTATATTATACTTTGAAAGGGTTGAAAAAGCATGACACAAGAACTTTAAAGCACCACAAGGTTGTTGTTCATCATACCTTCAGGGGACCTAATGATTAGAGAAGAGCGCTTGCATTCTGAGAAAGCTGCTAATACCTGCAAACCCAACAGACTGCCACAATGGTTTCCAAAAGCAGGAAATTTATACCCACATTTTTTCCTGGGTGCTCCAAGCTACTCACCCGTCACTAAGGGTTGTGTTAAATCTAGACTTCCAATTTCACTGTACTGTAAATTTATAGCAAAACATACAAGTTGATTATCCTCATTATTATTTCCAATGTAGCTTACTCCAATTAGTGTGTGAATGTGCGAGTGAAAGCGTGAATGAATGAATGCTATTTTAGCAGATGCCATTTAGCATACATCATTCTTCTTTGATAAAAATCCAACACCTGGTAAACTGTGTTAGCTGACAAGATCTTTGCAGCTACAGTATATTCCAGTAGTATTAAATGTGGTATATATTCAAACTCTTCAGTTTCAACATCATTCCACAGATTTTCTAACATCTCCTCTGATAATGGGTTCCCATAAATAAAGATATATGGTTTTGTACCTGACATATGGTAGCTCCTACCCTTCAGAGGAATGTTAAATAAACATAAACATCTTAGGTTTACAGCAATATATTAATTCTGCGGCACCAATCATTTATTTTTTCCATTTAGTTTGGCTGTTCAGTGTCATTATCTGGCCTGTTTGCTCTCCCTTAATTAGTCATTCCTTTCACCTGTCGTTTTTCCCTCCCTGCCTCATTATAATTTATTCCTCTCACCTGTTTCCTCTGATTTATATTCAGTTCAGCCTGAGCATTCAGCGGCAGATCATTGCTTGTCTTTTTGTTAGTCTGTCTGTTCACTTTGATTTGATGGTTCATGTCCTGGATCCTAGCTGCCAGTGGAAAGAGGGTTTAAGTGTTTGTCTCGTCTCCTGATCGTCCACTGTTCCTCCCCCCGCGGAGTCCTCTGGGTTTTTGGCTCATTATGGGGGGAGGTTCAGTTTTTATCAAAGTAAGCCTGGCTCCAGGAAGGAGACCAGTTTAAACTCCTGCTTCAAGTTCCGGTTCCTACGTCCTGTCTCGGCTACCCTCCCCCACTGTGCCTGCCTGTCTGCACCTGATCCTGTCTGCTCCTGTGCGTGACCACCTGGTCATGCTTCTGGTCCCAGTAAGACTCTGAACCCTCCTGGAAGCCTGTTGATGCCTGGAAGTCTGGATCCTACCACCTGTCTCTGTTCCTGCCTGATCTGGATCCTGTCTGTTCCTGTCTGTTCTGGATCCCTCACCAGGATCAGCTTCCAACATGACCTCTGGGACTGCAGCACTGGGGACACTCGTGGTCTGGACTGTTAAACCAGGTAAGTGACGAACCCAGATAATCATATATCAGTTTATCGTGGTCACTTACCTGTGTTTCCTCCCCTAGAGTGTCTGAGATTGAGCGGTGCCCCGCAACCCGCCACACCAGCCACCCCCCCAACCCCCCCACCCCCCCCCCCCCCCCACCCCCCCCCCCGCCTGCAGTGTCCGCGAGCCACAGCTCCGCTTTTGATTTGTTTTTATTTTAATAAACCTTATGAACTTTCCTACTGACTGTCTCTCCTGAATACTGGGTCCATCTGTCCAGGATTCATGACATTCAGTTAGAAGATAAAATAGTCAAACAAGACAGAAAACTTTTCTGTTTAATAAAGCTGATATAAATACTGTCTTAAGTAACCCCAGATTATTAGTGGTTATGCTGTTATAGGTTTAGGCTGCTGGAGGACATAATTAACACATTTCCTAGGGATGGGCAATTACAGTCTTCAAGGGCCAGTTTCCAGACACTTTTACATATGTCCCTACTCCAACACGCCTGAATGAAATAATAAGATGGTCGCTAGGAATCTTGAGAACAGTTTATACTAAGGATGTAATTCAGCCGTTTTATGTAGGTGTGCTTGTGTAGCTGTTTTATGTAGGTGTGCTGGCCCATACTCTATACATGCTGACTCAAAGCTCATCTGCATACAGTAGTTGTGTTTCTCTCCAAGATGAAGCTTCTGCTGGACTAACTACTGGCATTTTACTTTTCTGACACAGAAAGTACTGCTGGATCTGTGATCAGTGTTCCTTTTGCACAAGCGCTGTATCCTCACTATGATTCAGGTTTTGGTTGTTCTGGAATTTTATTACAGTTAAATGAAATTTCCCTTTACACCTTTCCTTTATGCACGCTAAAAATGAGAGATTGCTGTAAATGACACAATACAAGCAACTGTCCACAGTCGCTGCATTCTCATCCAGAAAGAGTGAATTCTGCAAATCAATCCCTCAGTGCAATCTGCTGGGTAGACAATTCTATAGCAAATCTGACTGTACGATTTGAACAAAGTGACAGTGAAGTGTCTTGAAGAGAAATGTTGTTAATTGGTGCTAAATTGAAACCTGAATTGACTCTTTATGCTTTTATTAAAAACAGTATATTTAACTTGTATAAAGATAAAAAGTCACAGTCAATAAAGATAACTAAAAAAAGCTTTAGTTTTTTTAATTGAAGCCAGGAATAGCCAACCTGTTAATCTATCTGCCATTCTATAAATAATGTGTATTTATTGCTTTTCTTTTTAATATAACTTCTGCAGACCTCCTATGCTGTGTAATAAGAAAAACATGTTTTTCGTAAAGTAGAGCACCAACCTTGTAGTTTTTTTGAAAATGTTTTGGTTAAAAACAGCCTTAACAGGTTGTTTTCGCAAACGAGTCAGCAGGAAGCGAATTACAAATACTTACTGCATAATGTTTTAATTTGCACACTGAAGAATGTGGTCCTCAAAAAGAAAAAAGACATAATGGGAATCAATTAAAACTGGCAGCTTGAGATTTGTCTCTGAAATTTTAAGTGATGCATCCTGAATGTGAACTATTTCAGTCTCTATCTGTGTGAGCTGCATTTTAAACTCTTTCAGCATTGTATTTTTCAAGTGTATTTTTGATTTTGCCTGAAAGATGTATGCAGGGCTTTAAAAAGTCTGTGCTATAAGTAAATAGATTTTTTTCTTCACATTTTAGCATTCCATACTGTTTGCTCAAACAATCACATCATGTCCAAACACATAAAATGATTGTAACCCTCGGTTTAAAGTTGTTGGAGGAACAGATGGACAACTTTAAAAGTAGAGAACTTTCTTGATGACATGTTGTAGGTTTAAATATTGCAATGAGAAGGCTTGTCAGTTTTACCGTAACAGACTCCCTCCTGGTTGTAGTATCCTGCACCGCAGTCAGAGACACACACTCCATCTTTGAGCAAAGCAGCTGGATCAGAACATGATAAGCAGTCCTGTTCAGTCGGTCCACGGCATTCAGAACAAGACCCGTGACACCCTGGATGGAGGAAAGAGCTTTGTTTTAGTGGAGCACATTGTTTGGAAAAGGCATATCCACTGCAGAAAGAAAGAGTAACACTGTATGTTGAGTTTGGACTAAATTTCTTTTACACTATAAAGAAGATATAAAGAACATGATAAATTGACCAAAAATGAAATTTGGTATGAAATCATATTTAATAGTAGTAATAATAGTAGTATAATAGTTAGTCTGCCGTTAACTGATTAAAATTTTTTATTTTACTATTCTTTTTGAATTAATAATACAGCCACTCACAGTGGGCACATTACCTGACATGGACATGACCTGTCCACCTGCTGACAAGACATCAACATACTAGAAGTCTTTCAATTGCAATAATGATGGAGGGAGCAGCCATACTGACCTGAATCCAGATTCATGATGAAGCAAATTAAAGATAATAATTTTGCCTCTATTTTGAGAAAATATTTATCAGAAGCAGATCTGCCTTTGTGACTTGTTTTAGAATAATTACCAGAGGTTTGCAAATATTTAACACTCTTATGTGTTCATGAAATGATTATTTTTGCTTATCCTTCTCAAACAAGCTTTGCTGTTTAAATCCAAATTTTATTGCTAAACTGATTTACTTAACTCAAAGAACCATTTTATTTCCTATAAAATTATAAGAGTTTTAGTTTTAGTCACACATACTTTTGTTCTGCATGTGTTTGCTTTTTTCTGGAGCTGTAGGAAAGGTTAGAAAAACAGCATGGCAGCAAATATTATCTAATCAAGAAAACAATTAACAGATGTAATTTTGGCTATGGGCACCAACAGCTATTGGAATTTAAAATAGTTCTCAATGGAAGCCAAAGGGAACAATTTAAGCCAGAGACACAAAGGAGGCTCACTGCTGTCGCACACTGAATCATTTTCTATGAATCACTGCACTTTATGTGTAATAATCTTTCATTTGAAATCATAATGACCTCTAGAACAGGTTCAGCGACTAGCATCAGTTACCATGGCTACAGACTCAGGTAAGCTTTATAGTACTAATAATCACGCAGAGGAATCTTCATTAACTTATGACCTCTAAGACCATTTGTAGATACTTAAATGATGCATGATCTTCAAGGAGTGGCAGTCCTTTTGATTTCACAGACTTTTATAAAAATCAAAGTCAGGGTAAAAGGTGTCATACTCTCAAAGACCAGCACTGTTCATGATGCAGAAAAATAAAAATGTTCTTAATGGCCGGTTTTAGAAAAGTATTGCTAGGATGTAAACAAAGTATAATTCATCCTTTGTGTGTTTGATATAGCTGCAAACCCCAAAACCTTTCATTAAGGGAAAACAATTTTTTTTTTAACCTGGGTAAAATCTGACTTAAAGGAGGACACCAACATGTTTCACTGAATCAAAAGCTTCTATAGGACTAACAACTTTGCAACTCTTTATATTCAATGGATCAAACAATATGATATTAGAAAATTATTAAAGGTTTTAGAAAGTACAAAATCTTCTTCTTTTCATTTTGTCTCTTTAAAGAAATATAACAGGAATCATTTTAAATAAGCAAAAGAATGTGACATTAAAGGTTAAAATATTAAGGAATGAATGGAGTATAGGGGGAAATCTAGAGAGCCGCAGTTAGTGAGAGAAACTCAATGAGACAAGGGGAAATTCACCCTAGAAGAGTCTAATTAATTTAATCAGTGTCATAAGCACGGCTGATAAAAATCTTAATCAATCTGAGATTTCAGAACAGAGACCAATATGTATCTAAGAAGTTATTAGAACAGAGTGTGAAATAAATCATGCAATCCCTGCTGCTCTCTGCCAACTGTCCTCAGGTTATAAAACTCATTTTGTTGAGATTCTGGAAATTTACCACCCACAGCTAAATGTCTCCTGCGACCACCTTAAAAACAATTGAATTTAGATAAAGATTCATCAGCTTTCTTTTTCCATTAACATTATTGTTGCTTAAGTGCTTTTTGTTAGAAATTTCAGGAGCCTTTCCAAAAAAGGAAGAGTCAGAAGTGAGCATTAAAAATGAAAATGCAAACGTTCACTAAAAGCAAACATACCTCTGCAAACTGTCATTGCTGCACACACAACTTAATAATTGACAACCTTTGGATCCAAGCGGGATCATCTCTAGGTCAAAAGTTTAAGGAACAGAGAACCTGCCTGTGCATATCTCTCCTACTGGGAGGCCTGACCTTACAAAGGGCCAGATTTAGCCAGAATAATGTCAATAATTGAGAAATATATGCAGCAGTTCATTATAGGGATGGAGAATTATCCTTCCTTCCATTTTCACAACTGTTATAAAGTCCTCCTGCCAAACAGCATTACATTGGGTCTCAAAATGTTGCATAATGTACAGAGAGACTTCAACATGTGCAGGGAAGATAAAAGAAATCACTAAAACAATGTCTAAAGGATGTTGTAGCCCATGCTGGCTTGATGGTGCATATTGATGAATAGGAGCTTCGTCACCAGCTCTGGAGGCATAATTGATCAGATCCTTTTGTTTGAGGCTTACTTCGAACAGAAACTCCCCAAACAGGGTTACTCTGTCATTTGACAAAATCAGCACTCCTTATTTATCACCTGCACTCAAATCTAGCTCCACATTACTCTGTCACTCTGTGCACCTAATTGTATCACTACCATTGTCTTTAGAAACAAACTCCTAATTTTGATTAAGCAACATACCAATACTCAGGGAAATGACATGGCTGCGTCCGAACGTCCGCCCAAATCGCTATATAGGGCACTATATAGTCGTTACATCAAATTTTATGAGTGTCTGAATGCCTACTGGATGAAAAAGTAGGGGACTCGAAATTTCCAACAATGCATCTTGAAAACTAGTGATCATCCATGGTCAGACATATCCCAGATTGCTTTGCGAGTGCTCTCCTTGCAAACGATCATGGAATTTGTTGTGGCGCAAACAAATAATAAAGATGGCGCAGGCACAGTGCGGGGAGACGGAGTTATGTGACCAATGAGGAGCAAAAACAAATGTAATCTAAATCCCTTTGTCCCACAATGGGAAAATTCACTATCTGCATTTTAACCCATCCCCTTAGGGAGCAGTGGGCTGCCATTGTCTGGCATCCGGGGAGCAATTGAGGGTTAAGTGTCTTGCTTAGGAACCCAGAATGGAGGCTGTAGGTATCCTTGCAACCTTCTCATAGCGCAAGCACACTGCTCTAACCACTAGGCCAACACTCCCAGCATGAGGAGCAAAAAGTAGAGATCATCTGTCTAAACGGTCAGTTAACTAAGTTCACTATAATGTTCACTACATAGTTCCCACTCTATATAGTGATTGAGAGATTCAGGGTTTAGGGTGGATGTTCGGACACAGTCCATGACTTCAGACTCCATCAGATGCCACAACAACTGCATCATCAGGAAAAAAAGACATCACAAGTAGCGGATCTGTGGCTCAATTGTGTCCAAAGAATATCTTTCATGATTTGGTGCTGATGGCTGGCTTGATTGCTCATTTCCTTCACCTGTGTAGCTCTTCCCTGTTAATCATCAGATCCACCTGTTCCGGTTTACTATTTAAGGCCCCTGTGTCCCAGCCGTCAGCTCCAGATTATTCTTGAGCCTTTGGTGTAGAGAGTTTTTGTAGCGTACTTTAGTGTTGTGATTGTATGATCCTGATCTGTTGCTACCTTTGGACCTTTAAGCCTGCCTGCCCCGGTCTTATTAGTTTGCCTGCCTGTCTTCAGTCTCCTGTCTGACCTTTTTGTGGATTATCCTGTGTGTCTTTGTCTGCGTGGAACTGATTTCTGTCTGGGCCTCTCTGGCAGTGTCCGCTGCTTCTTTTCCGTCTACCGGCTGGCATCATGCGCTGTCTTTGGGCACCGGACTGAACCGTCAAACCAGGTTAGTGACTCGTGCGTTCATAATCGTTCTCCATTAGATTGTTGCACTCACTAACCTGTGTTTCCCTCCAATAGACGTTCCTGTTTCTGACACCTAGCCGCTGCAGCAGCTGTTATCACGTTTCTGTTTATTTAAATAAATGCTTTGAATCATCCCGCTGTCTGTCTGGCCTGAATACTTGGTCCCTCTGTTCTGAATCATTACAATATTGGCTTTACAAGAACCACACAGCCTTTACAAGCAGCACAGCTTTTTAGAGGAACTCTTTGTAAGCCTTCACTGGATCCACAAAACACAAAAGTGATGAAAAACACAAACTACAAGGACCTTATCAGCAATTCTACTTTTCTGGGGCCAGGACAGAAGCAACGCCCCTCCTGAGTACGAGGTTCAATAATCAGTGCAGCTGTGGATCAATTGACACGGCAAAGTTTTCCAGACATTAGAAGGAAAACCTTGATGAGGATTAAAATCCAATATATCTAATTTATAACCTATTGATGTCAACTTCTGAGTCCTTGCTAGTTAATTTTCATGTGGCAATGTCATGCATGCTAATAACTGGTTGCCTGGGGGATGAAGAATAAATCAAAGGTTTTAAATTTAGTTGAGAAAAATGAATATCAACCAAATAATTTAGAGTTTGATACTGGGCATGGATTTTTAATATGAGGGAAACTTCTTTCTAAAGGAGTTGCAGGCAATAGAAAAAAAAAAAAAACACCTCTGCAGTGACCTATAGATTAACAGGTGAAATGGATTCAGCTCCTGCGTTTTCCCCATTATCTGAGGACATCTCTCTGTTTTTGAACTTTTGCACCTCTATAACTTCCTCCTTCAATTACCATCTTTCTTTTTCCTCTAGTCCTTTTTTTTAACAATTTCTTTACTTCTGTTGGTTTCTTTTCCTCAAATGATTTACTTCATGTTTGATATTTATAAAATTTACAGTAGGATCCATGATACGCTCTTTAGTTTTTTAAAATACCATAAAAATCCTTTTAATGTCCCACTCACCCAAAGATATTATGGAAACTATTCCTTCAAAAACGGTTACAGCCAACAAGAGGATTACATGTCCTTTACCTTGCTCCTCTCAGGAAAGCAATTTATTCTTCCAGGCAGCCCTAAGCGTAAAGTTATCAGCAAATATAATCCTGGAAGTTTCCAAAAAAAAAAAAAAAATCCCCACTCTGCATGAAAAGGGGCAGGTTTGGATGGATACACGGTCACACGGTGCAGTGGATAATAACCGTTCTGCGTCCCTGTGGAGCCGAACGGGGACACAATTATCACGCTGCCGGAGCGGTTCACATCTCCCAAACCTCCAGTGATAAAACCAGATGAGATGAGATATTCAGCAATTAAATTAAGCGTGGGGAAAGCAGATATGGACAGATAAAAACATTCATCAGAGCTGTATCTGAAAATCTGTCGTTGGGAGGAAATCAGAAGTGAAATTAGGTTTGCCTGAGTGTGTTCTATTATTCATTCATCTTAAATTAGAATTTGATTCAAAGCAACAAAACAGAAAGCTGCCACATTACATTTCTTTATACTGCTTATTAAAGCCTGGAATGAGTTCCCTTGCAAGAACTGTAGCAAACTAAGAAAGGAGGTTCATTTTAGGTAAAGTTTAGACTGCAAGTTTGTTTAAACCTGTTATAAACCAAGGAAAGAACGTTTTGCTCCAGAAATAGTCCACAGCACCAAATGAACCCTTCAAAGTTGTTAGACAAAAGCTAAGAGGGGAAAGACAGCTTTAAACGAAAAAGGGGGGTGGGGGTTGATTTGACACAACGCCCCCATAATTCTTCACAAGTCTGCTGAACGGAACATATGCAGATAAATGAAAGCTTTTCGAAGCTCGAGGTGTTTAAAAAGTGAAGACCTCACAGCAGCAGCAAGAGCAGCAGACTGCTGTTCTGGGTGGTCCACATCTCCTGCCAGCGAAAGTTACCATCTGGCAAAACACCTCACGAGTTCATTACCAACGTCAGCTCCCATCTCCTCAACCTCCATCTCCAATCCTTTCTTCCATTTTCTGCAGCAAGAAATCCACTCAGGCAGAAATCAGGCCTAATGCGTTTCACTGAGGCATCTGCTGATTAGCAGTCACACTGACTGTTTCCACCACAGCTCTTTTTCTGTTTTTGTGGGAGGAAAAACAAAACAAAACAATGGATTTTATTCTTATTAAAGCCTATTGGAGATTAAAGAGAAATGGATGGTTGGTTTTATGAATCCCACAAAGGGTTTAAATCACAAAAACTGGCCCGGAGGTGCAAATTATTATCTTTTTTACAACATTAAACCTGGATTAATGCAGGCAGGGTGCATAAGTGGACGGGTTGCAAAACAACTTGCTTTCACTTGATTATGTAGTGCTATATTTGAGAGTAACACATTCTCTGTTAGTCTGGACTAGATATGATTAATGCTCTATGGGTGAATCCTTCAATGGATTGCACAAAAGCAGGACAGAGGTAGTATCGCTCGGATTGTCCTCTGAGATTTTGTACAATGCTGCCATCAATCTAGTTATGGAGCATTAGCCAAAGGTTCAGCATTAGCTGCTGTGGTCTAACCAGAGTAAAGCTGGTTACTGAGCGTGTGCACAGGGAGGTCTGCAGTCATTAAGCAGAGAAAATCAGCAGCAAAGCTGCTTAAACCCCAATAGAATAGAAAATAAATACCCGTTATTGTCCCACATTGGGGAAGTTCAGGTGTACCAGCAGCAAATTGAAAGGCAAATGGAGGCATACAGATAAAGGCGAAGACAAAAACTAGAAAAGCAAAAAATTGAGAATAAGAGGCTGTACAGCATGTGTACTCTGTGCTCATCAATACACCTTCTCTCCGTGTCCTTTTATCCCTACCAATCATCTAGAGAGACAGCAGTAGGTCTCCAAAATCAACTAAGCCGTGCATCAATAAGCACAGAATGTTACATCTATGGAAATCTATAAAAACATGCTACTGGTGTGTGAACAGTAATTAGCTTGTTTGTTTAATTCTCAAACCATTAAAATGGCAGATAAATTAAAGGCAATTAAAACAGCACCACTGAGCAAAATATGCAACGGTTACTGAACATTCAGTAAATATGTGATGTTTAGCTTAGGAAATCTATTTCAAATATTTCTACGGACCAAGGATTCAAAGCAGATGTAGGAAACATGTCAAATATTATAGACAGAAATAAAAAAAACAAAAGGATAAATAGCATTAAGGGTAAAAAAAAAAAGAAGTACAATGAGAAAGATATAATTTTCAGTGATTTTAAGATGTTTATTAAAGCCTGTCAAGCCAGATAATAATACAGACATAATAAAGCTCAATATCATATCAAATTAATCATATAAGGAATTAGAAATGTAGAATAGGTCCTACAATAAGACTGCCACTCAGAGTTACGGTCATAGATGTAACAAAAATCTTGCTTGCAGATGATAAGATAATCTTAGTACATTTAATTTAGTTGTTCCAAACTCCCTTTATACTTTCTCTGAAAAATGCAGTTTATTAATGCTATTTTCTGTTTTCAAACTAAGCACATTGATCCTGTACTGGTTGGAAGGAGAATAAAAGCAACTTTATCTTGTTTATCTTGAAATAGTTTGATTTTCACTGTGCATTTTTCCTTTGGTAGCAAATTTTAAAAATGTGATTTTGTTCCAAACTGGGCTCCTTCTGCCAAGAAGGTAACAATTATCTTAGCACTCTGAAAGTGGAAATGGATTCTGTCACTTGCACAGAATTACAGGCAGCGTAACAACAAGTTCAGCTAGAACATCTGGTTGAGGAAAGCAGCTGAGGCAGAGAGAAAACAAAGAGCTGAGAGGGGGAGACTAATTAATGCAAGGAGTATAAAGATTCCTAGAGAGAAACAATTGGAAAAATTGAAGAAAAAATCATCACAATAATGAACTATGGACTTAAGGCAGAAAGGAATGAACTAAAATAACACTAGAGAACATTAAAACAAGGAATTAAAAAAAGACAAAAACCAAATGTATTTCTGCCATTCGTTAATAATAACTGTCCCGTCCTCCCTGTGAATAAATGAAAGCTCTTTTTCTTTTATTGATTAACTCTTCACCTCATCTTTAATCTCTGCATATCCAGAACATATGGACAGTAAACAAAATAATCTTTTTTTTTTTCAAATATACGATTAGGAAAGTTAAAAAAAAAACAAAAAACACTGCTTTTAAAGTTCTAAATTTAGGTTTTTATAAAAGAGGTTTTTGAGCATGCAAGAACTTTAGAAGACAGAATTGATCCAATTGATGTTAGATTTAATTTGTGGATCGGATCAATGTAAGGTGATTTAAGACATATCTAGGTCAAATTTAAATGCATAAATTGTGCATTAAAAATGAACAGAACTAACCTTTTACCTAATTGCTACTGTTTTATTACTGAGCTGTAATTAACTGCTCAGTACTGTACCTCACACCTTTAGTGTGTAATTTGTCATAATTATCTAAAAGTGAAGAGGTTTACAAGGAGACCTTGCAGAGAAATTAAACTGTTATATTGTCAGGTTTATCAAAAAAAGTATTTAGATCAAAAAGTCGAAAGAGTTGACATTAAATAACCCAAAAAAGAACTAGTATTTGTCTGTATGTGTGTGTTGGAGTGTGTGGGTGGTGATGTGAGACAAAAACAAAAACAAACAGAAAACACTTTACTCCAAATTATTCAGTTCTTTTCGAGCAGAAATTACGATTTTAAATAACTTTCTGAGGCAGAGCATAGGGGCCAAAGTGCAGCAGCAAATCACCAAGCAAAGGCTTTAAAAGTACAAATTCTTACATCTCCACAATACCAACGCAATAAGACTTAAGCTCAAAGGGGAGAGGTCTGACCCCCATCGCTTTGTGAAATATTCAGAGCTCTTCTAAAACACCCTTCACTGATAAGAAGTCTGACAGAGTTCATTCAAGGAAACAAAAATGCATAAACACAAACTCCCCGGTGTGCTGTTTTGGAAAAACACCAACAGTTTGTAATGAAAGTTTTAAGAAATTAATATTTTAATGAAATATCAGAAGAATGTTTGAGAAAACTCTGAATGAAACATTTTCTTCACTGCTCTCTGTATCAGTGCTAAAGCATTAGAGCTACTAGATGCTACTGAAAGGTTAATGTGTTGTCTTATTGGGGAGGTTTGCAGGGATAATAACCAGTGACCGTATTCTGAGATGCTGATCTGATTTAGCAGCTCACCTGAAAAAAATTCAATAATTTATTGTGTGAACCGAGTCAGTCCACAGCAAATGTGATTACGTCATATTAAAACTACATTTTTCTTTGCTTTTATTGGGAATTTCTGTGACAGATCTGAAGGAACTTACTGCGACAGCGTCCGTGGTCGTGTTGGTAGGAACCAGGGGGACATGAACCCAGGCACTGGTCTCTGTCAGGGCCCAGAAAAGGCAGTCGGGAGCCACAGGACTGGCAGTCCCATCTGCTAGAACAGGTGGCACAAGATTCTGGGCAGGCTGAGAAGAAAAGGAAGAGATGTGGTCTAATAAGTTCCCTGAGATATACATTTTCAGAGGAGAACTGAGTTCTGAGGACTGAAACAGAAAAAATGGTATGAATTTTGGACAAGTAAATCCCATGAGGGATGTTTATTTAAAGTTTGCTGGAGGGTTGTCAGATTGTTAAAGGGAGCATGGAGAGAAAAACTAAAGTTTAAATCCAAGTTTCCTCTAATATCCAGAGAAAGGAAGCAAACTAAAATGAGAATTTAGTAGTTGCTGTACGGAACTAAAACAAGCCTGCAACTAAAAGGGCAGCAGATTTCTTTGCTCAGGGATTAAAGTATTATATTGCACATTTCCCTTCAGTAACTTTAGTGCAGGTCTGCAGGTTGTGTCTTCAAAGGTAACTCCACAGGTGCACCTCCTGCTTAATCCAACAAAACTGTGAACTCTGCAGTGTTGCATTAACATTAATACACCTACTGACGAAAAAAGATTAAAAACCAAAAGCAAAAGCCAGATTCTGATATAAACTGATTCACAGGCCAACCAGTGATGGGGATGTCAATAAAAAAAAAAAAAAAACTGAAATGTTTGAAACAGGTACCACAAAGCGAAGGTGGAGGAATCATGCGAGAAATAATGTGTGGCAGACGCCCCAAACAGGAAGGAAACAATCAGAAGGCTACAGATGGCATTTTGAAAAAGATCACAACATTGGATTTGATGAGGTGATCTGCTGTTACGGCCCACCGATAAGATGTTGAGGTCACCCACTGGTTTGGCACATCAGAAAAAATTCACGACTGAAGTTGAGCCAATTTTTCCATACCTCTATGGATTCTGCGCTTGCCAAATGGATACAGAGATAAGACTCTTTACTACACCCTGGAACATCTTTTAACATCTGCCATTGGCACAGGTTTGAGCCGAATACACAGGCTGCTATTAAATGCAGAGCAGGGAAGGATGCATTTGGAGCTTTATTAGAACAAGCAAATATCATGTTTTTAGGAGCATCTTGGTTATGGGTCACCCACTGATGACCATCATACATATAAAATGCAGCAATAAGAGTAATGGGCTTATATTCTCATGGGGTAATCAAGTTTCCTTGTGAGGGAACATGTGTGGGATCCCTTCCAATATCAACTTAGACCCAGGTTTGTTTTGATCATTTGAAATTGAGGCTCAGTTAGAACAGCTTAGGCAAAACTTACTGAAGGACAGGATGTAGTGAACGTTCATTATATATTCATCATGGCGCTTGTCTATTGCGACCTACGAGGCACATGGTGAACCATTTTTCTTTAGTCAGAAACTCTCACTGAGCTTTGATATTCAGGACAACGTCATCAGTATCAAACTTAAGCACGCAAAGTTGTAAGACCCCGTCAAACAAGATATTTTATAGAACAATGCAAATGTGACTTTACTACACTTGGAATATATAAGGGAACTATTACTACACTCTAAATATTCCTTTATGATGTTAATAACGCAACATAGAGAGCAGACGGTAGCCGCGCAGATGCTGTGAGAGGGGTGGAGCTTGGAGGTGGGGCATGAGTGAAGCAGAGAGGGTGGGGGAGTGGCGTGAAACCTGTTTTTCTTCAAATTTTCAGTAGAAGTCTGCTCTCTTCTCAATGTTACAGACTGCAGCTTTAAATCTAACATCCACCCACACAGACAGACAGCAGGGTGGAGTGGGGGGACGAGATTAAGTGGAGACAGTGGAAAGCTAGGAGGAGGAAGGATACATACAGATTAGGGAAAAAAGCTGAAAATAAACGCCCTCAGGAAGCAAGATGACAAATCTAAAGGAAAGTTAAATATATCTGATTAGAAATATGAAGCTCTGCCTCATCACTTTATGTTCACCCATATCTGCTCAGAAGCATCAATATTTACAAGTATTGATCTCACCGGCAATAAAAACAGAAAGGAAGTGAAAAGGTCACACAACTGCTATAACTTTTATATACAACACATCTAACAAGGGTCTCTTTGTCTTTAACGAGAACAGTTTGACTAGCACCCACACTGTTTTAAACTGAATCAGTGCAACTTTCTTTTCTATAATTTAAAACCCTTTATTAAATTGGGGTTACCACAAGGCTCCTCATTCGGCCCCATTCCTTTTTTTGCTATACTTCACTTTTAAAAACTCTGCTGATGGTGTTTGAATCTCCCTGCCTATACCAGGTAGAAAATTGCTTATGTTTAGGATTTGGTAAATGTTCCTTGAAGATTCCTACATTTCTTCCTTAAAGAGGTAATATAATAATTATATAGGGTCTTTGAATAGGGGGTGTAACATTGGTTGGGCTGAAAATGGCATATTTGCTTTTCTATGAGCCCTAATGCAAGCCTGGTTAAAAGCCCCAGAATTAAAAGACAGGTTTTCTTCCTTTTATAGTATGGTCATGTATATTTAGATGTGCTGTGCGCTGATTGGTTGGTTTACAACAAGCGAAGCTGCTGAGCAAAGACTCATAATAGCAACAAACACTCACTCACTGAAACATGAAATTGTCCGGGGGAATTTCAAAATCATCTGGGATTTTGGTTGACTACAGTGCAGCAGAACCGAGCAGTCAGTTCCGGGTCTGGTCCGGGAACCGTGGTGACGGCCCGGACAAAGACGGCCCCGAGCTTCATACAGTCACCAGGTTGGGTTTGGACCAGCCCTGGAGCTGATGGCTTGGTTTGAATTCCTGGTCTGGTCCCCCCATTAGCCCAAAACAGAGATGATGTGAGACTTTTCAGGCTGGTTAAAGACCAGACGTGCCACCATGTTCTGGATCATTTGTAACGGTTTTACTGTACAGCTGGGAGACCAGTCAGGAGTGTGTTACAATAGTCAAGATGGGAGATAACCATCAACTGCACTAGGAGCTGGGTAGGATGCTGGGTAGAACCTTAATCCTGTTTGTCTTTGTGAAAAAGGAGACCAAATCTGAGTGTTGTATTCCCAACACTAACATTTGGCCATGAGATATGTAACACAGCCAGAATAAAAATCCTGGTAGATTAACCTGAAATGAGCAGGTTCTGAAGGAATAGTTGTATCTCTACATTGGATGGAATGGCTTGAGGTCATTTAGGTGTCAGATTAAAAAGGGTTTAAAGTGATCAAAGGAATCTTCTAAAATGGGATCAAATCCCACTTGAGAAAAAAAAAGACAGCTACAGTATTTGGTCCGGTAATTAACACCCTTTTTCACTGGCTACAAATCAGAAGAGTGTGGCTGAGGAGGATGAGGAGTTTCCCATCATGCATTCAGTGCATCTGTTCATATACATGAATGGATGAACGCTGGATGAACAAATGCATAACAGCATTCAAAATATATGTTGGTGTCAAACTGTCATTATGCTGCACTCTGCAATTTGTTAGAATTTCAGAGGTGAGCGCTAACACGGGTGAGAAACAGAATGATGGTCTCAGATCTCTATTGGCTTCAGACTATATCGTCTCTGGGCTCACGGTTTAGTCCAAACCATCCATTTCATAGAGCAGCATCTGAAATCAATTCAACTTTCTGTTGAGAGAGACATTTTTTATATCACAACCTGGCACTTTCGAAGTTCATAAATATTACTATACTACCTCCCACAGCTGTATGTTATACATACTTTAAGAGCCTTATGATTCCTTTGATATTTTCAGAGAAAATAACATGAAGTCTTGTTATGTTTACCAACAGCTGTAGTTGGGAATATGTGTATTTGAATACATAATGTTGCATTTTACATCTCATCTGAATAAAAAAAAAAAAAACTGCTTGGCAAACATCTTGTTCATCCAGAGGACAGTAATCAGAGATTATATTACCTGTTGGCAAATAACAAATATAAACAGAAGCACAGCGAAACGCAAACTGAATCTTGGTTTAAAAGTCATTTTAGTTACATATGTAGTTACACAAACACTGATGGGAAAACATGATTATTGTTTTAACAGCCTTTATTGTTATTCATATATATCTGCTGCTATTTTGAACAGACATTATTGAATATATTGACATTTGGCCCACCTTGGACACTCCTCGGAAATCATTTAAATGGACTCTTAGACGTCCTTTTTCCTCTTTTCAAACTTCATTTAATCTACCCAATGTTTATTTTGTAGTAATAACATTCAATCAGTTTGACCCTCGATTTTGAATGATCTATTAATTACCAACAACTTCCAGTTCTAATTAATCATATATTCATAATCTACTCGTAAAATATCACAACACAAATGAAGGCTTCATTATTCAAATGCTGTCGTGATTCTGCATTTTTTCGGTTCTTTTTCAGTTTTCTTTTTAAGTTTTCAGTTATACTTTGATTTATGTCATTCTGTGTTTTCTAGGTAATTGGTTTTTGTGTCATTCTAGTTTTTCAGGTTATTAGATTTCTTACGTATTTCTTGTTTTCTCTTTGTTGCCCCTTGTGCCAATCTTCTTCCCCCTAGCTCCCTTCTAGATCCTCCTGTCCACACCTGCTCCCAATCAGTTGATTACTACATTCTTTTTTCTGTTTGCCTTTTATATTCCTCAGTTACGTTTTGCTGGATTCTTTTCTTTCCTTTATTCCCTCCTTAACTCATGCATTCCCCTTCGTTCTGGTTCCTGTGTTATTGAATCAGTTATTTTTGGTTTTATTATTATATTATTTCTTTTGCCACTACTCCTTATTAAATGTACAGGAAACTACCTCAGCTTCCGTCTCGGCATTTGGCTCCTCTAAAAACCTCCACCCAACCTGACACATGCCTCATTCTGTCATTGAAATTATTATTTTTTTATTATCGTATTTTTATTCATATACCTACAGGTGTCATTTTTATCTTTTCAGCTCAGAAAGCTGTTACAAATTTTTGAGTTGGTGTATCTATCTTTGGGTAATTCACTCATTTCCCAGAGTTGAGATGAGTAAATGTAGGCTGTTAGTAGATGATGTTTATCCTTCATTTAATATATGATGGGGGAATGTTGAGGGTTTTTGCAGCAGCCACTTCTGTAGATAGAAAATGTATTTTAGCAGCAATTGTTGCATTTAAATATTTACCTATATCTTTATTATGCAAGGGGTGGCAGTATGTGATTAGTACATTTCTCAAGTGATTCCACTATAACTAGATGCCTGCAGCTTCAAGATAACAGTCCTGGTCTGAAATTTTGGTTGCATTCCAAGTACTTTTCAAATTTCTTATTTTTTGAGTTATTTCTTTAAGATACTTAGTTTTATAAAATACACTGCAAAAGTTTTATTCATGTAAATGTTTCATCGGCACAGATCTTTCTGTGTAAGCACTGTTTAAGACATCTTGGGAGGTTGAGCAGGTAGAAAGTGTCCAAAAGTAACTGGCCGGTGGATACTGAATGGGAATATTTTAATGTAAATGAGACACCTGAACACAGAAGGAAACAAAGGATGAGAGCACCAGATAAATGTACAAGGAAGGGAAAGAAAAATAGGACTTTAGTGCAAGAGATCAGAGAGGAAAATACATTGTGAATGTATTTCAAAGAACAAGTGGATTATGACAGGCTGTCTCCAAAGAAAAACTCTTCTTCATCTTCACTTAATGCAGCAAACTGCTGCAGCAGAGAGAACAGCTTTTTGTATCATCAGGAACTTGCAGGGTGTCTAAAAAAAGTCAAGGTTGCTCCAGGGCTTCTTAAAAAATGCGTTACAAAATTGTGTTGCCAGCAGTGTGGAGCCTGCTTAAAGGTAGCAGTGGGCGGATATAAGTGCTACTGCACTCAAGATGAGGAGAAGACTCAGACAACAGCAGCAACATGTCACCTCTGTCTACAAAAGTGGTACTGTAACAGGGATAGACCGGCTTTAGGCAGGGAGTCTAATGATGGTAAGCAGAAGACTTTCTGTTTGGGACATCCTAAGAGGTAACCTGATCCGGTCCGTCTTCAGTGTTGCATCCCATCAAAAGACATTAGTTTCCTCTTAGTTTGGCAGATGCAATGAATAGAGAACATGAAAAAGGCTGACCAGGAGTAAGTGTTTTCATCAGTCCAGGAACAGTTCAGTGATGATTTTGGTATTTCCAGGTAAAAGTTAAAATTAAGGTACTAGAACACTAAAATTTCAGAGAAGATTGGGCTGGTTCCCAAAAGGCAGGTGATAAAACAGAACCAAACAAACTCTGATCAACCCCAAGTTATAAGACGACAAGCATAGGTCACCATAAGTGAGGATTTTCTCTTCCATTGAAACATGAAAATAAAAAATAAAAAATGCTGAGGTCACAAAACACAACACCATAAAACATTTTTCTAAAACTTTAACCATGTATTCAGGATTTGCATCCCTTCACAGGTTTCCTGGGTAAAAACCAGTGAAGAGAGACCCAGGACATGGTGAACATACTGCAGTTCTTTCTTTTTGGTTTTTAAAGCACTAGTGGCTCACTTTTTTTTTTCTAAAGAGTAGCCTGACAGGAAAGGGGGAGAGACATGCAGCAAAGGAGCACAGGTCGGATTCAAACCCGGGTGGGCCGTGTCGCGAACTAACTAGGGGTGTAAATCACATCCATCATGGCGATTCGATTCAGTATCGATTTCCTGACCCAACGATTCGATTATTTTCGATACTCAAGAATACACCACGATTCGATTCGATTAATCGATTAATCGATTAATCGTTTTTTTTTTTTTTTAACACCTTACAGGCTAAACAAAGTTTCAAGTTTGAAATAAATCAATGAAAGCTGTAATATCATTATGCATTTTCTTTAGAAACAACAGCAAATAACAGAAGTAGAAAAGTTGCATCAAAAAATACTGCAAAAATACTGCACAATATCAGTGTAATGAGTTCAATGCAATACCTCGGCTCCAGAGAAACTGTCCAACATATTTTTTTAGAATGTAATAAATATACTCAGGAAAGAGAGATGTTGCTTAGAGAGTTAGACAGGAATAAAAATAAACTAGATATAAGGGAATTGTTTCAAAGGTAATCTGAGGATGTAGTTTTTGGTAGTATTTTTTATTTTCTAAGAAGAACGGGTATTTTAGGGAGAATATAATAGTTTGTCTGGTCCATACTCCATTCTGGAAGGTGGCGGTGATGCACCTATAAGTTGTTTGCCAACTGCCATTAAAAAAAAGAAGAAGAAGAAGAAGGCTCCAGAGTGTCGAAGTCACCGCCCCCTTGAGCGACGCTCCGCTGCTCCTCTCCCAGATTGTAGCTGACCGCAAACAGTGCAGCAGACAGGAGGCCGGCTTGTTTTGTTTTTATGACCAAAATTGCGGAAAACAACTCGTGAAGTTTGACCCGCTAGAAGAGCGAGGTGCGCGAGAACGCTGGGACCCTTTTTCCAGCTGAATCTCCGCTCTTTTTGCCCTCATGCCCCTTCGTCGTCGGACTAAACTCGTCCCCACTTCCTCACCGCCTCGGCCGTATCTAGACCCACAGCGTGTAGCCCAGACCACGCTTCAATACTGAGCATAATTTAAAAATGTCTGTGTGAAGCTTGCTGCAACAAACTGCTGTAAGAGTATAACCAGGAAGCGCTGTAGGAGGGCAAAATAGGTTTAGCTGCACTGCAGCACGGGAGGGAGAATTACGCCCAGGAGCAAATGCATTAAAATAGACCGGAGGGAAAAAAAACATGAATCGATTATCTTGCGGACGTGTCGATGCATCGGATCGTCGGCTTTTGGATCGATGCATCGATACAAAACGATTATTATTTACACCCCTAGAACTAACGCCTCCATACATAGGTCGTGGGCACTAAATACTGCACCGCCAAAGCACACCTCAACAGACTGCAATTCTCTTCCAATCTGGAAATAGAACTGGACAGCAGCAGCCTCAGGCTAGTGCTGTTTTTTATTTGTCTGTGGTTTTAGGGGAGGCACCAATATCCTTTGTTTTAATGCATATCATAATTTTAAAATGCGAAATCCATGGACATCTTACCTCCACACACTTGTCCTTCAGCATAGTAGCCCTCTGGACAAACTGGCAGGCAACGCCCCAGATGGAGAAATGCTTTGGGATCTCTGCAGCTCTCACATCGGTCAGGAGTCCCCAAACAGGACAGGCAGTCTGCATGGCACTGAGCTGTTGGAACACATTTCATGAACTTTATTATACAAAACATTTGTGGTTGCTGTTGTGTTAGAATCAAGACATTTAGTCAAATTTATAATTAGAGATATGCTTTCTGTCTGAGACCCAGATAATTCTAAATAAGTTACATTGTGGTTTCAACATCAGTAAGGAAGCTTTAATACACTACCGTTCAAAAGTTTGTGTTTTCCTGAAAAGTCACTTATTCACCACCATATGTTGTGAAATGAATAGAAAATAGAGTCAAGACATTGACAAGGTTAGAAATAATGATTTGTATTTGAAATAAGATGTTTTTTTTTTTTACATCAAAGTTTGCTTTCGTCAAAGAATCCTCCGTTTGCAGCAAATACAGCATTGCAGACCTTTGGCATCCTAGCTGTTAATTTGTTGAGGTAATCTGGAGAAATTGCACCCCACGCTTCCAGAAACAGCTCCCTCAAGTTGGATTGGTAGGATGGGTACTTCTTGCGTACCATACGGTCAAGCTGCTCCCACAACAGCTCAATGGGGTTCAGATCTGGTGACTGCGTTGGCCACTCCATTACCGATAGAAAACCAGCTGCCTACTTCTGCTCTAAATAGTTCTTGCACAATTTGGAGGTGTGTTTAGGTACATTGTCCTTTTGTAGGATGAAATTGGCTCCAATCAAGCGCTGTCCACTGGGTATGGCATTGAAAAATGGAGTGAGCCAATGAGCAAACACATTGTACCATTAGAACACTGGAGGTATAGTTGCTGGAAATGGGCCACTATACAGTACACCTATATAGATACTGTATTGCACCAAAAGCCAGACATTTGCAGCTAGAATAGTCATTTACCACATTAGCAATGTATAGAGTGTATTTCTTTAAAGTTAAGACTAGTTTAAAGTTATCTTCATTGAAAAGTACAGTGCTTTTCCTTTAAAAATAAGGTAATTTGAATGTGACCCCAAACTTTTGAAAGGTAGTGTATATACTGTTTAACTTTTTTTAAATCTCCCAATGATGACTCCAACGTAGTAATACATCGCAAACGTTGCAGACATTTAAGATTTCATAGTCAAACCTACTAGATTCCCACAGTTCTACAGCTCTCTGTTACATATTAAACAATTGGATGTGAACTCTTTACAACCAAGCAGAATTTCCCAAACTAGTAGCTTAATGAGTGACACCGAGTGTGCATATGCAGCTGTGGACTTCTGCTTTCAGCTCACTTTAGACATGCACCGACGTCCGTGGATCATTTAAGCAGACGTATTGACTACAATATTCTGTTATTTTTAGACACTTTTAAAGGTCCACATTCGTTTGACCACTTTTGCTTTTGCTGTAATGCTTTTGCTGCTGTAACACCACAATTACCTCATACTGGAACAATAAAGGGATTTTCTATATCTATTCTTATATTATTGAAGTCTCCTCTGAGGATGCTTGTTCTTTGTTTTTCTATTTGTGTTTTTAATCAATGTCTGTGTGTAATGCTGACATAATGACAATGAAGACTCTGAACTTTTTAACCTTGTAAACTGTTTCCTGAGATGATCTGTGCTGCTAAAAACAATGTAGTAGGATGTCTCTGCTAATCATCTTGAGAGTAGACTGATATTTGTGCAATGTTTTGCATTTCCTAAATTTTAAGAAGTAAATAAAACTTTAAAACAGATAAATATGTTCATTATTTTCACTCTTTTCATCCATTAATTCAAATTTGTAAGCAATACTGAGCACCAAACATGTTGGGAAAGTTTTACACTGATTCGAATGAGACAGTTAAGTGGCCGTTTGCCACTAACATACTAACATTGAATATTTTTCTATAATTGCATTGTATATGCGCTGAAAACTGTGCTTTTAGATAAAACAGCAACATTTTGACTCATACAGAAACTATTGTCTGTTTTACCCCAGTAGAGGTGTGTTGTGGTGTATGTAACCCAATCTGCCAGTGTTTCCGTCGCACAGTTTGCCAACATGTTACGGATGTTCACATACTGAAAAATGCCAAGTTGCGGCTAAACCTGTGAAATGAACCCCCTTTTGTATAGTGCTGTCACTTTACATAGTGTGTGTGTTACAGTAAGAGCTCCTCTTTTTATTTGGCAGTGGTCTGATCCAACAATATTGTTCTGCACAGCTCAGATTAAGGAAGCAGGGTATCAGGAAAGCATGCAATTACAACATCATGGTTGAATATTGTAACCGAGAAGAGATAAGGAGAGGAAACAGTTGACACCTGCTGTGTGGGAAAGGCATTACGGAATGCAAGAACAGTTTTTAATATTGTAGGGATGCATGTATTTTCTGAAATGATTTGCCTCATTGGTGGACAATCTTCAGCAACTGAACTTCGTCCGCAAATTAAAAACTTGCCTACAACGGCTCTGTCACCGTCACGTTCTTTGGATAAAATAATCAGAGAAGACGGAGATAAGGCCTGTCCAATCCATACTGCAGCAGAGGCAGATAAAAGCAAGTGCTTGTCAAACAATGTGCAATGGCGTTTCCACTTGATTTCACAGAGAGCGTATTGAGCAAATAAAACAACAGACTGCGAGGGCCGATTAATACGACAACTGCAGAGAAAGACAGGGGGAGGAGAGGGAGTAGGAAGGAAATGACAAGGGAAAATAAGACAAGAAGGAGAGTTATAGCAAGGGAGACTACGAAGGCGTGAAAGAGAGAAAGAGAAGTTGAACATGAGAAAAATGAGATGCTACTTTAATCCTAACGGCCAATAAGACTGTCAGCAAGCAAGAACATACTGTTCTAAGTATCTCTATCACTCTTCTCCTTCTCTAATCTACCGTATCTTTTCCTCTTTTTGTTCATTCTTCTTTTACAGATTCATTTTACTCCAACATTCATCTTCTTCCCATCTGCCTCTCATCTCACTGCTTGACCTTAAATTTTACCCTCAGGCCAAAGTTTTGTACTGAAGATTGGAGAGAACAGCAAAAGCTTCTGCACAAGAAAAATGTGAGAGAATATGTGAAGCAGGAGAAAGTGATAAAATGGGAACCTTACAGAAGCGAGCAGTTTTTGCCTTGCTACACCACAAGGTTTAATGGTTGATACTGACACCAGAATCTGAAGATTATTACCAGTACCTAAATCTTGCATGACTATATTGTTTCCATCAATAGCTCTATCTGTAAACATGTTATTTTATGCATACAATAAAAATTACATTAAGAAACAAATTAACACATTTATATAAAGGGCTTCACTTTCATGGGTACAAGATGGTTTTGTTTGCTTTGAGAGGCGAGCATGAACAAAAACAGATAGAGAACAGCTTTGATGCTTGTACAGAGCCCAGTCCTCTCACTTCTATCACTTCTACCACAATCCCTGAGGCACAAAATTAAAAAGACCGCCACAGATAAGAGCTTCATGATGACAAGAAATGCAAGGGTGCTTGATCGCTATGGTAAATAGTCCTTGTCTGTTATGCTTGATTGTTTGTAGAAGTTTGACCTTCTATGGAGACTGGCCAACTTATTAGTTATAGCCAGCATTTTGGGGGTAGCTTAATTGTAAAACGCAGCTGCACCAACTTGGAAATCCTTCCTCCCTACGCAGCCAAATTTTCCATAACGACAGCCTCCATATGAGACAATAAAGCCTTAGGAAGGATCAAATCCATTTAGCTTCTTCTAATTCTGTTGATAAAAGTATTGGTGAAATGGAGGATGTTGCATTACTGTGTGGAGGGCTAAAATTACTGTCAGTGACTATAATTATCAAACATCTCAGACTCGCTGCAGGGAGTCCAAATCAAAGTCAATCAGTCCTACTTCAGAGTGCGACTTGCAAGTCACTCTATTTAAAGTTAAACTTTCAGGAAAGGCACTGACAAGGTAAATATAATGGAAAAGTTTCAGGTATAGGATTTATTTCAAATTAAAAACAGGAAAGACTGGACCTCTTTCTTTGCAGGAAGGTCGAATGAAGAGGGAGTTTGATAGAAAGATCCAGACTTTGTTAGCAGTAATTCAGAGATTGCACTGGTTTCCCAGAATATTGAACAAGCTGAACCATAAAGCTAAGCTCTTCATTTCACAGTCTGCCTACACATATACCATCATGTATAGTCATGGGATTTTAAACATCATGCCTTCAAGTTTTTTTGAGATATGGGAACATTAGTTTTCAAAACTTCAGGTTAAAGTTTTGAAAATTATTGTTATCAACATGGCTCTAGCTCTGCTAAACTATAGGTCAGAAATGCCATACTGGTGGCTCTCTAGTGACAGCTGATCCGCCTCTACATGAAGAGGAGTTTATTGTAGTTCGAACATCTGATCAGGATACCTTCTGACCTTTGGAGGTTTTCTAGCAAGTGGAGGGAGACCAGGGGGACATGGAGGTGCTGGAATGACAGCATACAGTACATTTACAGTTGCTTCGTCTGGAAACAGACTGAATTGATGTATGTGGTTCCCTCCTGGTCCTGTAGCCCTAAAACGCCATCTCAGATACGCAAAAGAAAAGGAATCAATGAAATGCTAGATGGATATCCTCTAAAGTGGAGGTCTTCAACAGGGGGGTACCATTTCATTCACAATACCATCTGTAATAGAGGGACTATAGGACCAGCTTGATATAACACAATTTCATACAGTATATATAATTAGGGGTCCCCGCTCCATCTCTCCATCAGTTTGGGGGTCCTTGGCCCTGTTCTAAAGCATTTAGCTGATTCGTTGACTGTATCTTTAGGGATGTTGAGCAGTTGGTAGGTGAAGGTAATCCTCCATCCTGCTTTACCTAAGAATTTACTTTGATGTATTCCTCAGATGAGCTACAGTATTTAGCTGCTTCTTTAATTAAAAAAAGTCTCACCATATGTGTTGGTCTATAAATGAGGGTGAAAGCTGTAGTAAGATACTACAGAAACTAAATATCAAGATGTTTAAGGGATTATGAATACAGCTGCAGAGTGCTAAATAAAAATAAAAAAGTTTATAAATCCAATGTAATTTCCGGAATAAAAATTATTTAAGGCAATAAATATATGGTGTGCCACAAAAAAAAAGGAACACGCGGAAAACTGCAAGCAAAGCGCTCATTTTTACATCTGCTCCCCTGAGATGTGAGGGCAGCATAACTCTTGGCCATGGCCCCCCGTTTGAGAGCTGACCAATAGAGGAGCAGAATACTGACCTCTGGTCCTAAAGACAGCCCTTGATTAATAGACCTAGTTGAAGATTTATGATTCAAGCAAGAAAAGAGGCTAAAAAAGAGGGAGACGTTGAGCGCATTATGCACTGTTTCTATTCTCAGCCATGAACACTATGAAAAATCTCACTCAAACACATATGAATGGCCTCATGGAGGTGTTTTTTGTTCTCGGTATGACAATATAAATCTAAGAGAAAGACACATTTACAATATTTAAAATTAAATGTGAATACCTTTTGTTATACAAAGACAAATTCTGTCTGAATCCATCTTAACTTTATAGGGTATATATTGAATAGGAAGCTTTATTTGCTAGAGACTTGAATGAAGGAATGAGATTTACATCTGAGATCTCAAAGGATGAAACAAGTAAATTTTTTGAATGTTTTCCCTAATATGATACAAAAATATACTTTTAAAAATCTCCTGAGAACCTACTATATGAAACTTAGAAACTTTACAGACTCAAGAACCGTGGCTAGCCGAAGCTCCCACAGCCCACACCAGCCTGGCCATCAGACCCATATCTAAACATATTTATGTGACAAGAATACAGATTTTTGGGGGAAGAAAGCATTGCAGCTTTACACAAACCACCCCTGAAAAACCCGAAAGAACAAAACCCCCAGGAAAGTAAAGCCCAGAGAGTGAATTAATCTTGGTAAATGTGTTTAGACGTTCAAAAGTCCCAGGCTTTTGAGTTGCAATGGAAAAGGGGCTTAAATGTAGTTTGGTAAATTCGATCAGGGAACTTGCCTCCTATACCCAAGGTTTCTGTTGTTGTCTGCATAGAGCATTATAAAAGGAAGCAGGAGAAACATCCGGTGTGAACTTCCAGCATTGACTGTAAAAACGTTGGCCGCCTGTAACTGCAGTAGGTAAACTGACTGGGCTCCATCGTTTTATGTACAGAAACTGCTGACTGCTACACATTTTTTAAGAAACTAAGAAAAAGAAATCCATTTGGTACGTTCGGATGAAAACCTGCACATTTTTACTAAAATAATGTAATACTTGGTCTTCTTTAGATTTCCCATACCTTTCTATTGGGACATTGTAGGCTCTGACCCATCAGTGAGCATAAATATGGTATGAAGAACGGAAGGAAAGAAGTGTGACTAGTCCTGCTGCACAGACAGCTGCCTAAACTGTCCGACTTATTAATAAATCTTCATCAAATCTGGGCTCATTAAAGTTACTTAAACTGTGTAATTTAGTGTAAAATATCTGTCAGTATATAATAGTAGCTCTTCATTTGTTTAAGTAATTAATGCAGGTTAATTCATGTATTTTTTATTAAATAAGAAATGGTTTAAAACCCTTAAATGGCCTGTACTTGCAGAGCACTTATACCAAAGCACTTCTCACTACCCTCAGTCATTCACCCATTCATACACATATTTGCACACTGACTGTGGTACGATACACTGCAGCCACAGCTGCCCTGAGGCCGAGCTGCCATACAGTTGGCACCAGCAGGTGCTGAACAATAGTACCACAGGGCCTGTTGATTAAATGTATGCCTCTAATTAAAGATGGATTTAGGCCTTATGACCAAGGCTCATTAGTGCACTAGCAGGGTTTAGTCTGGGCTGTTTACTCCCATCCAACAGCCACCTTAGATTTAATTGCTGAAGAACTTGAAGGGGGCCCCAGAGCTGGACAATGTAAAAATGGCCTGGTCTGGACCTGAATGAGTAGAATACTGATAGATTATTTCTTCCTTATTTTGTTAAAGTTACAGTATCAAAACTGAAGCGATAATAATTAGGAGGCCTTTCTTAGGCAAAATGAGAATATTTCTTTCTTCAGGCGACAGCAGCTTGTCGCTCATCTGGCAAGGCTTTACCCCCAAAGACACTCTCAGTCTGTTATGCATAACTATAAACTCGCTCTCTGTTCATCAGCCTCTTCAAACTTCGTATTTACATATTTACAGAGTTTTAGCGAGGGACAAATTGTATTTACAAACTATTTCTGGTAATGCTGGCTGTCAGTTAAATTTCGAAACTTTGCCTAACAGACACAACGTTGAGGGACTATATATATTAGAACTGAACCTAAAGTTTTTGGAAAAGAAAAAGAAAGAAAGTAAAGTTTTAATAATTAATGCTGGCATAAATTATTTAAAATGTAATTGTTAGAATCTGATGGTGTCGGGTTGGTAATGACAATGGTTTATTTGTCAAACAGGTGAAGACAAAGTTCATAATATAGCTAGAATGCCCTCAATCAGTTAAAAACAAAAGTTTAGTTTGATGCAAACAATTTGTGTTTGAATATCTCCAGTTTATGATCAATTAAAGTATTCCTGCCAATGACGACAACTGAGAGTCTGCAGACATATGGGATTCATTAATGAGCAATTATGTAAAGAATAAAGAAGCTGCTTTTTTCCCAAGTGAGCGTCTGTCGTCTCAAAGAGACAACATGTCAGGTCGGCGTTAAAGAAAAGACAACTGCATTTTATTATTCTGATTATAGAAATAGTAAAATAGCTTTTAATGAGTATATAACTATTGTACATGTTCCTTTATCTGGTGTTTATTCTGTTTTGCACATCGACAAAAAATGGGTTGCAAGATTTCTGTCGTAACTACAGTATGCTAGTGTAACGAGAACATGGAAGGGAAAGACCACTCGCAGATCATGCCTGCGACAGGTTGTTTTTTTTTTTTTGTCAGACTTATGCAATAATTGAGCAGGAATGCTGTGAGTCCAACAGGAAGTGGGGAAGGAGTAAAAGTAAAATGCAAAAATACAAGCTAAAATGCTCGCATTTAGTGGAAACCATGATGCAATTTCTGATCACCGTAACAAATAGCAATCCTCTTTATATGTGTTTGAGTAACAAGTGCAGTTTCTTTTTTTGTCGATTGCGATCTTGAGATTTCACAATCAAACTCTCATATGAATATTTGATTTTGCACATCTGGTGGTCCAGCAATAGACCTGCTAATCAGAGCCTATATATTTGGAAGAAACTGAGGTATAATAATTACTGTATGTTTTAACTGTTGCCCAAAGGTTCTGTATCTTTATATGTAGATTTGAGTGCCTCTTTATTAAAAGAATAGGACATTTTTCTTTTTTTTTTCAAAAATGTAAGTTCTTGTGACTTTGTCCGCCCCAAAAATTTATAGTAAGAATAATGGAGCAACAATGAATGGCTAAAACTAAAGCTAACTGGATACATAAACACTCAAAGTGTTCAGCAAAAGCAAGAATGTCCAAAATATGTATGAGACAACCAACAAATAAGATGATCCTTCAGGAACTCAAAACCAAAAGATACTCCACTATACCCTTACTTTAAGACCCAAACGTCCAACATATGTAGATTTATGATTTTAAATAAAGTCATCCTCTGCTCATCTCCAGCAGCCACAGTCTTACCTGTTCAGCACCTCTGTAACCACCTTTAACTCTAGTCTGTTAAGTTTTTCTGTGATCAAACATAATCTGTCAAATAACCAATACTGCTTTAGACAGAGATGATACGACATACATGCATTCTGAACACAATAGTTGATGCTGGGGAGTGAGAGAGTTTGAGGCACGGCATGGTGAGGAACAAAACTAAGTCACTGAATTTAACTGCTGCACTTCTTGGGACAAAAAATAAACCAAAACATACTAATATTAATATGAGCACTTTCTTTTATTACATATCAATTATTTTGTGTAGCAAATCTAATTTAGGGCTAAAGGCTCGGTTATAAATGCCTAAAACCTGTTTTCACAATTAAATTAGTATTAATCCTTCGAGAGGTTTTTCCAAGGTTGGCTTTTAATGTGTTTTTAAAGAATACATGGAAAATGGAAACTAGTATAAAATAAAAAAGGATCAACTTCCTTAGTCTTCAGACCCAACAGAGTTTTTCTAACACACGCTGTATCTAGTATTTTTGCAGAATAATGACGTACCCTGTTGACACTCGGGGCAGCATTGGCCTTCGTTTATAACAGCCAGGGTTCCTGATGGGCAACCGGGGCAGGAACGAAGATAACAAGTCACCTGGGCATCGTGGCATTCACACTCACGGCAGCTGCCATCAGTCCAACGGGCCCCATTCTGCAAAAAAAGACATTGTTAAATAGACCTCAACCAGTGACAGAAAGCTCAGACCAGGCTGATTTTAATTTTTAATTCTGATAAATCTCACTCGTATTTAAAAGGAGGCCAATGCTGCATTTTGATTAGTGTTATTTGAAAGAAGCGGGACATCGAATAAGGGAACTAATGAGTTCACCAAGGACAAAGTCCCACCACCAGCAGCAGGAGTGTCAAAATAAGGATAAAATAAAAACTTTTTAAACCATATCAACTTATAATAAAAAAGCAATACACCATGCGCTTTAAGTCAAAGAAACAAGAAAATGTTTCTCTATCAGCTGCTAGCACTTATGCACTGTTCTCATGCATTACTCATCTGCTTTCTTAGCAGCGTAGAAAGTACGACCCTGGATGAGTAAGAAAATGAATTAACCTCATATAATATTCTTTATTTCTTAGAGTAGCCCAGCAGGGATGCATAATTCACAACCAAAAACGTGACTAGACTGATCAGAGTCAGAGATTTCATTTGAAGTACACTATATTGCCAAAAGTATTTGCTCACCTGCCTTGACTCACATATGAGCTTAAGTGACATCCCGTTCCTAATCCATAGGGTTCAATATGACGTCGGTCCACCCTTTGCAGCTAGAACAGCTTCAACTCTTCTGGGAAGGCTGTCCACAAGGTTTAGGAGTGTGTTTATGGGAATTTTTGACCATTCTTCCAGAAGCGCATTTGTGAGGTCGCACACTGATGTTGGACGAGAAGGCCTGGCTCTCAGTCTCCGCTCTAATTCATCCCAAAGGTGTTCTATCGGGTTGAGGTCAGGACTCTGTGCAGGCCAGTCAAGTTCATCCACACCAGACTCTGTCATCCATGTCTTTATGGACCTTGCTTTGTGCACTGGTGCACAGTCATGTTGGAAGAGGAAGGGGCCAGCTCCAAACTGTTCCCACAAAGTTGGGAGCATGGAATTGTCCAAAATGTCTTGGTATGCTGAAGCATTCAGAGTTCCTTTCACTGGAACTAAGGGGCCAAGCCCAGCTCCTGAAAAACAACCTCACACCATAATCCCCCCTCCACCAAACTTTACACTTGGCACAATGCAGTCAGACAAGTACCGTTCTCCTGGCAACCGCCAAACCCAGACCCGTCCATCAGATTGCCAGATGGAGAAGCGCGATTCGTCACTCCAGAGAACGCGTCTCCACTGCTCTAGAGTCCAGTGGCGGCGTGCTTTACACCACCGCATCCGACGCTTTGCATTGCACTTGGTGATGTATGGCTTGGATGCAGCTGCTCCACCATGGAAACCCATTCCATGAAGCTCTCTGCGCACTGTTCTTGAGCTAATCTGAAGGCCACATGAAGTTTGGAGGTCTGTAGTGATTGACTCTGCAGAAAGTTGGCGACCTCTTCGCACTATGCGCGTCAGCATCCGCTGACCCCGCTCCGTCAGTTTACGTGGCCTACCACTTCGTGGCTGAGTTGCTGTCGTTCCCAAACACTTCCATTTTCTTATAATACAGCTGACAGTTGACTGTGGAATATTTAGGAGCGAGGAAATTTCACGACTGGATTTGTTGCACAGGTGGCATCCTATCACAGTTCCACGCTGGAATTCACTGAGCTCCTGAGAGCGACCCATTCTTTCACAAATGTTTGTAAAAACAGTCTGCATGCCTAGGTGCTTGAATTTATACACCTGTGGCCATGGAAGTGATTGGAACACCTGATTCCAATAATTTGGATGGGTGAGCAAATACTTTTGGCAATATAGTGTATGTCTATGCATCTCCCAAAAACAGTAAAACAAAATGTTTTAGATGATTCATAAGAAATGTCAGTAAGGCAAAAGTCGTGGTTTACTTCACCCCCCAAGGCCCCCAACCACCCCCACCCCCCCACACACAGCCTGAAGTCTGCTAGAAACACCCCAGTTTCAAACCTCTACCATAACCAGCCTGAAGGATTACCGCCCAGTTGACCTCACACCTATTACCATGAAGTGCTACGAGAGACTCTTTCTCCAATACATCAGGGATTGTTTCCCCCGATTAGGGTTGCCAACTGGCCTTGAAAAATTGTTCCGTATTTAGAAATATAAGTACCTGTCCCATGGTTACTTGAAAAGGAACACACTTTGTTCTATTTCTGTGACAGTAAAAAAATAGTCAGTAAAAAGCTAATGGAAAATGAAGAACAAGGGCACGTTAGATACAAGACTTACTGTAAACTTGTTCCCCTGACCCTGTCCTGCATTGTGACCAATGAGCTGACAAAGTATATGTAACGATCAAGAATCCCCTCATCCCATTGGTCGAGCCAAGTGTTGCTCATGGAGAAGATACGGTAGTGGGAGAGAACAGAGCAGTATGGGGGACGAACGGAGTAATTTAAATTCTGATGCTGCTTTTGGGGGCGGTGCACCTTCGTATAGTGATGCACCTCCTCCGAAAAAAACAAAAAAAAGGAAAAAAGGATGCAGAAATATAGGGAGGAATGGGAAAAAACAAATACCTGGGAGGAAAAAGTCCATGATAATGAATATAAAGCACACTGCAAATATTCATCTAATTCAATGCAGATCTGAGTCAAACAGTTAAAAAAAGCATTTCACAAACAAAGGGGAGCTAAAAAAAAAATCACCACACCAGGAGGGGTAAAGGCAATCGGGTCAGCTGGCACGCACATGAGGTGTCCCTTTTTGTTTTTAGGGAGTTGGCAACCTTACCCCCAATACTCAACTTCTACCTGTTAGGATATTGGGTGAACAGTTTCACAGAGGACTGCATTGTCATATAGTAGCTCTTCATGCTACTATATGACCCCCAGGAGAAACAGCAGAGTTATGCCAGGATTGCTCTATCTGGATTACAGCCTGGCCTTCGACACAATCAACCCACACAAGCTCATCACCAAGTGAGACACCCTGGATGCCCCTACATCCCCTCCATCTGGATTCAGGACTATAAATAGCAGACCCTAGATTATGAAGCTGTCCACTGCCTTCTCAGCATCATCACACTTCCTCCAGCCCCCTCCTGTACTGCCTCTGTTGTGTATTAATCTGCACTAATCATAAGATAAAATAAAGTTAATGTTTTATAAGTTTAAAGTTGTTTTCCCAAATACTGTTATGGAGCCATTCAAGGCCAGAGAGGAGAAAAGCAGAGCAGTGAGTATGTGTAACTATTGCACCTGGCCCCAATAGGAGTGAAGTCTGCAGGACAACGCAGGGTTGAGGCCCCTTAGTGATAAGAAAGCACACTCAATAAAAATGAAATATTTGACATCTCAAGGTTGCCCAGCTCAGCAAAATTTGGCCATACAAAAAGAGTTGTTATTTTCAAGGCACACAGAGCGGTAATGGTCCCAGAAAGGGTGATGCTTTGACTAAGATACGAAGGGGGAGCAGTAGGCCAGACTGACATGGCTTGAAGCTAGGGAAAGATGTGTTCTGACATGTTTGTGACTAAACCGTCATAAGTTTCTGATTTGAATGCACCAGATGTTTTCATGGCCTGAGAGATTGCTCTCACAAGAATGAGATGTGTCTATGAATGTCACCGTGTTTTGCAGATAAATATCAATGTGACCTTTACCAAAGACTGAAATATGTTCTGAAGGGGGTTTTCCACCGATAAGAAATGTATAAAAGGGAGCTGTGTTCACCATTTGTTCAGCTTCGGCTCACCGGTGACCAGCTCAGTGTGAATGTGTTGTGTTTAGCAATAAACACACTGGACCCTGACTCAGCTGCCTCTGCCTAAATTTTTTGATCTTTGTTTGAGACTTTTTCTGCTGTTTAAGAACTTTGAATTTTTATAAAACTTAGCTTCAATTTTAAGTCGTCAAGAAGAGAATTATAGACGACACCTCGACACCTATGCAGTCCATCCCACAAACAAATCATCATCAAATTAGCTGATTACTGTGGTGGGACTGATCTCAAGGGAAAATGAGTAATCTTTAGAAAATATCTCACAAAGGAGCTGGTGCTTACAAACAGTAAACATGGACTCAAGAGCTCAGGAACTTGGACAAGAAGCTGCTGGTTCAGGAACCACACTAAGGCAGACAGAGCAAGGCTTCAGAGGACAGTCAACGCAACACAAGGAATTACTGGCTGCCCCCCCCTCCCCTCACATACATTTACACCACCCAGTACCCCAGCAGACCACTCAAAATCAAAATGGACAGATCACACTCTGTTTGAGCTGCGTTCCAAGACAAACAGACAGAGAAACAGTTTCTTTTTGAGAGATGTTACCCTCATCAGCGCTCATATCTAAAGTCACCGCTGATTAATGTGCAATATTAATATCACTGCCACTTCTGCAACTCTGATCTACCACACCTCCATAAGATTTCTCCATTACATGCAATATAATCAACTGGGAATGTGTGCACATACCCAATATCTTGTACAATTGCTTTGATCTCATACTGTATTTCTTTGTTTTACATTTCTATCTTGATTTTATCTTTTATATTGAGAAATGTTGCACAATGTTTTTGAAAGTAATCTTTGATTAGCTTTAATAAAAAGGAGAGCCTCTCCTGGAACTGATTTGATAAATCATTAATGATGTGATTTAACCCTGTAACGTTAAGTCTCTCAGAATTTACATCATCAATTTGGGTACTTTTTTTCTTTTTTTTCTTTAAATACCTGATATACTGTCTATGGACATTAATAGTAAATAGAAAAAAATATTTTAAAAAAATTCAAACCCTTAGTAGCAATTTTAGGAATTTCTTTTTTTTTAAATAAAGACAAGTACAAAAAAATATATTTTCTGACTATTTTCATTTAATTTCATCGACCAGGTGTGTTGGAGCAGAGATGCATCTAAATTGTGCAGGACATGGGCCTTTAAAGACAGGAATTGGACACAACATTTTGGGTTTAGGAAATAAACTTTAAACTAGATCTCCAATAGTCATCCTTTAAATGCTAGGTACTCATCAAAGACATTTCCAGCCACTCCAGGAAAAACAAAAAACAAGTTATGAAGCAAAACAGAGAAATTATTTCATTATCTTAGAATCTTGCCTTTTATTTTACTTTTAAATTAATTCCAAGATGAAGCTTGGATATTGTGGGTTATTATTCTAAAGCATCTTTCCAGACTGTAATCCAAAGGTCTTTTAAGTATTCAAACCACTAATTATTTTGCTACAAATGGACAAACAGCAATACATTTTAATGGTTATAGCTCCCATTTATGGGTTCAGTTGCATCCTCCTGCCTTTTGTAGATGTCTTGGGTTTGTATAATTTGATCCTGAGTGACACTGTCATATAACCTCAGCTCTACAATCAGTTTTTTCATGCCATAAATGATGAAATCCAGGAAATCCTTCAGGATCAACGGCAAAATGCTTAGAAAGTTACAAAAACAGACCATAAAACTTGGTTGTTTTTCTTGGCAGTGACAGAATTATTATAATTATTTGGCTATGTGCTAACTTTAAATATAGCACTTCAGATGTTTCTTTTTCTCCTGAAAGTATAAAAATACTTTAAAATTAAACCGTATGTATTTTTCTTCCTCTAGCCACGCTGATGTTAACTACAAACATTTCAAAAAAACTTTTATACTTGAATGAGCCACAAAGCAGAAAGTGGTACCTTGAAAGATTTCCCCTCATAGAGGCAGGAGGGTTTCACTGACGAACATTCAGGACAGCACTTTCCTGGCAGATGAACAAGCTCTGAATCCTAAAAACAGAAATAAAAGGAAGGGACATTTAAAAATGTACTCAGTCCTGGTTATTCCAGTACATTCATTTATTGTACAATCACAATCCACTTCATTTTGGGAAATTCTTACCTGTTTTGCATACCCAAATGGAAAAGCAAATAACTTAGGAACTCTAAGTCCAAATTACATGGGTGATACATCATTTGAAAACTAACACCATCTAGTTTCTGAATATATAAATTGGGTGAGTAATACACAGACCAAACTGCATCATAATTATTGTATTTATTAATTGCATTAATAAATAAATACAATAAAGGTTGTATGCTGTGCACAATATTAAGCAAGCTTGATAAAAAACTTATAAAATTAAAATTAAGTGTTCCTTCCTTGGCTATGCTTTGCACACATAATAATGACACTAGCCAAACCGGTTAAGAAACAAAAATCATTCTCAGCAGCTGCACCTCTTACAAAAAAAAAGTCTGAAACTGAAAAGTGCAAAGAATTATTCAATCACACAGTGTTCTGAAAATGCATTGTCCTCTATTCTGCACTTTAGATGAATGACTGTTTAGGTGCCACTGGTGGTGGCATTGTATCGATACTTTTAAAAACGAGTATTGTATCCGGATACAACACTTTTGACAACCCTAGACTCAACGTTGCTTTTTTATTCTCAAAAATGATAGGTCTTTTTTGAACAGCAGTAATAAAGACTTGCTTGAGAATAGGCAGGTCTTATTGTATTACATTTGTTCTACATCATGTCAACCACAAATGCAGAAAATCTCAGACCTCTAGCTGCAATAGTTTCAGAGCTGTGGGGTGTTCAACTTTTGATGTCACCAGAGTCTCCAAAACCTCTCCAAATGTGCCAAATTGTGCCAAATGCTTTTATGCTTTGCTTTACTATTTGACCCATAGAATAACACTGAAGCATTTTGATGGCCATAAAACATGTATGAAGCAAGTATTTTCCACTTTTTTTCAGAATCAGTGTACATAACTAAATGCAGAATTTTTACACCTATAACAAAACTAAAATGTTGATTATTAACATGCTAGTTATTATATATCAACACAAGACAAGTAGCTCACCTCTAAAAATGTGGAAAAAAAACTGTTCTTTTAGTGATAGAGACAAATAAGAAACTGTAAGCCCTGATGAACAGAAATTAGTTAAAACAGTGAGCATCCTAGTTTACTGTTAAGTGATCGCCTAGGTAACAGATTATGTCTTGATCTCTGCAGATTTTCCAATAATAATACATACATAGATTTATTATAATCAATAAGAAAGTTTTTTTGCTCATTTAGCTAAATATACTGTGCTGCTAAGCTGGTTTACTACTAAACACTAAATAGAATAGATTTCAATTGCTGGGAGAAAATCTTTCAAATCATGAAAATAAAAGCATGATTTATTAATTATAGACTATTCTTAATCAATTATTAATTAAATATTAATTAAAATAATAAACTTCTAGGAACATTTTACACACGCTACTGTATGCCACAGCTGGTGAGTATCCCACCCAAAAGTTGTTAGGATTCAAATTAATGAACATTTGGATAGTTTGTCCAACCTGGCACTATAAATGATCTCATTTATGTTAATCTTCTGTAAATATCAATATCAGAATGTTTTGTTTAGTTTGTTAAGTTTACACTTTGTGGTGAAACTGTAAAAATAATTTAAATCTTCACTGTTCTGAATTGTAAATATGAGGATTTTAAAATTATTTTTATGAAGTTTTTCTTACATTTAAAGCAAATATTGTCACTAAGTTATATTTTTGACAAATAATTGCTGTAGATATAGAACGTTGTTCACATTACTTAAATAACTTTGCGTTGTTCTTTGTCTTTCTCTAGCCTTTCAAGGTTGCTCGCATGTCATAGACTCAAACAGTGTGTTCAGTCTGTGGAACGTAACGTCAGAAGTTGAAGGATCATAAACCTAACGATAAATGTTAGCCCTTTTTTCGGCCTACTGACTCAAAGATGTCAATAAACCCATAACCTTCTCTGAACTGTTACTAACAATGGTGCACAGACGAGAGCTAAATAGCTATGATCTTCTTAGCAAAGTGACCTTGTTCATTTCAGGGCTGGACACATGCCAGTTATGCTACTTACAGTTAATGACACTTAACAGCTTAAATTATGGCGATATAGCATGATTAATGGGGTTTTATAGGGTCCCCAGGGAGGAACATTAAAGCAATATGATTAAACCTCCTCCATTCCTGCCCACCTTGAAGCAGAAATTCAGAATAAATAACAGAAACACCAGTTACTGACCTTAAAGAGTCTTTGAATTTGCCTAAACCTCTCCAGCATTCCTAGCTATCTTAAGAGTCTTAATTAACAGATGAGGTCTCTGTTTTAATTTGAAGCTAATTCCACATAATAAGATCATTATATGGGAAGCACAGAAGGTTAGCCTTGTAGCTGTCACGTTAATTCCTTTTTTTGGACCAAGCTGCACATTTTAAGGCTTCACTTCTTCTCATTAGTTCCATCTTGTCTTTCAATTTACTGCGTCTTGACTAAGTGATTATCTGTGACAACCCTATAACCTTTAATGAATATTCCTACTCCAGTTCCAGCCAGTCTGGCGATATCTACAGGCAGAATCTTGAAAATGTAGGAACACGTGAAGAAAATACAGTAACTAAGACAGCTTCCATTAACTCTGTAGGAGCCTTTTAGAGTCAGGAAATGGGATTTTTGGGTCACATTATAGTGAGAAGGACTTTTCATTAGCTTTCATGGTTAATCCTGATTCAGCAGATTTAAACCGAATATGGCGTTTAATCACATTGAGGTTAAAGGCTCAGCTGAACACCCTCAAGTTAAGATCAAGACATGCATAAGGACCACCAAGCCAACAAGATTATTTTACAGCTATTAGGTCAGAAACCCTCAACTACCTTTTCAGGATTTCTCAAATCAAGTTGAAGAACAAAGTTGTCCAATATTACTGTGGTGACCAATTCGGTTTGCATTGTTTGACAAACACATTCACCCTAACCCTAACCCTGATAAACTCTTAAAATATCAGCACTACATTTGTTTTCGATTTATTCAGCCAAGAGGTGTAAGCACCAAAACTGTGAAGCAGTTATTAAACACCTCTAAATTACATTACTCACCAACACCAATATTACTTATACAGTAAACTTATCACCCTCACGGTAGATCAAAATTTGCAGGACTTTTAACAGTGCTTTTCTGAAGAATTACTGCATTTTAGTGGCATATACACTCACCGGCCACTTTATTAGGTACCCCATGCTAGTAACGGGTTGGACCCCCTTTTGCCTTCAGAACTGCCTCAATTCTTTGTGGCATAGATTCAGCAAGGTGCTGGAAGCATTCCTCAGGGAGTTTGGTCCATATTGACATGATGGCATCACACAGTTGCCGCAGATTGGTCGGCTGCACATCCATGATGCGAATCTCCCGTTCCACCACATCCCAAAGATGCTCTATTGGATTGAGATCTGGTGACTATGGAGGCCATTTGAGTACAGTGAACTCATTGTCATGTTCAAGAAACCAGTCTGAGATGTTTCCAGCTTTATGACATGGCGCATTATCCTGCTGAAAGTAGCCATCAGAAGTTGGGTACATTGTGGTCATAAAGGGATGGACATGGTCAGCAACAATACTCAGGTAGGCTGTGGCGTTGCAACGATGCTCAATTGGTACCAAGGGGCCCAAAGAGTGCCAAAAAAATATTCCCCACACCATGACACCACCACCACCAGCCTGAACCGTTGATACAAGGCAGGATGGATCCATGCTTTCATGTTGTAGACGCCAAATTGTGACCCTACCATCCGAATGTCGCAGCAGAAATCGAGACTCATCAGACCAGGCAACGTTTTTCCAATCTTCTATTGTCCAATTTCGATGAGCTTGTGCAAATTGTAGCCTCAGTTTCCTGTTCTTAGCTGAAAGGAGTGGCACCCGGTGTGGTCTTCTGCTGCTGTAGCCCATCTGCCTCAAAGTTCGATGTACTGTGCGTTCAGAGATGCTCTTCTGCCCACCTTGGTTGTAACGGGTGGTTGTTTGAGTCACTGTTGCCCTTCTATCAGGTCGAACCAGTCTGGCCATTCTCCTCTGACCTCTGGCATCAACAAGGCATTTCCGCCCACAGAACTGCCGCTCACTGGATGTTTTTTCTTTTTCGGACCATTCTCTGTAAACCCTAGAGATGGTTGTGCGTGAAAATCCCAGTAGATCAGCAGTTTCTGAAATACTCAGACCAGCCCTTCTGGCACCAACAATCATGCCACGTTCAAAGTCACTCGAATCACCTTTCTTCCCCATACTGATGCTCGGTTTGAACTGCAGGAGATTGTCTTGACCATGTTTACATGCCTAAATGCACTGAGTTGCCGCCATGTGTTTGGCTGCTTAGAAATTAAGTGTTAACGAGCAGTTAATACATAATAAAGTGTATGTATAGGGGTAGGGCTCTCACACTGCGCATAGATGTCCTTTCATATTCAGGTGTCTTTATTAGCACTATTGTTTCACCTAACAATCCATCAAAAACATCCAAGACCTCCGTTCCCACATTTGTAGCATTGACTTCTTTAACAAGGGAGGAACCCAGTGAGATGAATGGATGGTTTTTATACTCCTGTTTCTCCCCTGTGACATTTCAGCTAAATATAATATATCAGTCCAATACCATTCAAGCAGTAAACTAGTTTTCCCTGTAATCTTATCATGATTAGAACAGGCTGGGGCTGCAGTTTTAATATTTATTAGCTTAACTGGATAAGTATTTTTTTTTTACATTTCTTTCTTGTTATAGTGAATTTTTCAAACAAAAAGACATTCTTCATATCTAAAATAAACATTCTGGCTGTCTACAAATACATTTCAGATCTCAATTTTTCTTATAAGGAAACATATGTAGGACATCAGAAATACATATTTAGTTTATTTCAGTTTCTGCTGCAAAAATGCAATTTTGAAAATCTATTATTAAAATTATGACTAGCAATGTGATTTTGACCATAAAAAAATCTATTTTAGTGATCTAAAAAATGGAACAACAAAGAGGAGATTTCTTTTAATCAAATCTAAAATAGCCTATCATAGCGAACTTCATATAAACTTGCGTATTAACTCAAGCAGCAATTTTCTTCTTCACCATATCCCTACCTTTGCATCTGTAGCACCTTTGTTCTGTCTTTTAAACACTTCTACCAATTATTTTCTTTCATTTCTGCCTTCAAATCTCTAGTTCCAGTGGTGTGAAATAGGCACTTCCTGTTGCCTGCTGTCATGGTGACTCATCGAATAGGGGCTCCACTTATAATGGCTTTTCATACCTATTACACAGGTTCTCAACTCCGAGTCGACCTACTCAGAGTTAATTCTCAGAGCTAATTAAAATAACTCACAGCAGCGTTCGGCTGGAATCAATTCAGAGTTGAGGATTTAAGTTTGAGTTTCTTAAACCTGCTTCATGAAACTAAGCTCTTTTTTAATAATTTCTTAACTCCAGTTTCCCAAAAAAAAGTCCACCTTAGAGGTTTCTCACAACTGCTACTGATATTGAACACCTCCTTCCTTCTGGCTCACCTGTGGGCATTCAACACGACCACATTCTGCCCTCAGACAGACGACTTGACCTCGGTTACAGGTGCAGAACTCGCATCCAGTGCCATTCCACATATCTCCATGGTAACGAATTGTATCTTGGTAAAGACAGCTTCCTTTGGCAGGAGCACATTCCTCACAACACTGACCAGCCCGCCTCACTTTAGTCAGACCCTGCAAAGAAACAAGAACTGATTTTCATAAATAAAGAAGGGGAAAAAAGGAACCGTTAGAAGGGACAAAGAAAGCGGAGATGCTCAGAGAAAGGCTTCTTTTCTGCTCATAATGTCCTCAGGCAGAGGGAAGATAAGGGTCTCAAAAGTTTGTATTGCATCATTGGGAAAACACAGTTTAGACCATCATCTGTTCTTATAGCTTTATTTCAAAGTGCTGAAGAGAGCAGATTTACTGACAACAGTGAAGTAACTCTGCGACAGCTGAAAATGTGAGATATCAGGAAGAAGAGTCTTCAGTGTCAGGGTATTTTTGATAAGCATGGTTACAAAGAAAAGATGGATGCTTTTCATTGTTGTCATTTTTTTTTCTTCTTCTGATGTGGTGATTTTGGTTTCTATCAAGGGCAGAGTTGGTAAGACTTTGAGCAAGAAGGTTTTTCAATCCCAGCCTTGGTTCTGTGTGCATTGAGTTTGCACCTGGTCATGCATGGATTCAGTTCAGATGCAACTGCTTCTTCGAACAATTTTTTTCTCTCGATTTGGCCAACGCTTAGGAACATGTAGGCAGTAAGCTGCTTGCAGCTTGTGGGGAGCAATATGGGGCTAAGGGTCTTGCTTATGAAGGTTCTCTGGGGAAGCTTCACCACCACTTCATGTTTTCACCAGTTGTGGATTTTGGGTTGCCTCTCAAGATTGATGTCCATTACTTTTTTTCTACCATTTTTTTGTTTTTAAGATCATTGTTTGATTTCTGAAGATCGTCCAGCCATCAGAGTGGTTCTATTTAAATCATGTATTGTTTCTGAAGGTTAGGTAAAAATCAGGCCATTTTGTGTGGTTGAGCTCAGATTTTGAAATATTTATTTTTAATTAAAGTTAACAAAGTTTTTTTTATCAAAAATGTTCCTTTGCCTGCTTGAAAAAGTGAAATCTTTTAAAAAATTGCTTTTATCCTAATTCCATAATTAGTTCTATGACCTCAAAGATTTAAGTGCAAAAGAAAATGCCCAGAAAATATAAGAAATTTGTACAGAAAACAATTCTTTTCACAACACTTCTATGAATCCATTAAACAGCCTCTGCAAAAGGCTCCTGAGGACAATGCCTCTGGGATTTACACTTTAATAAATACCAAGGGCAGCTGGATCAGTTTTAATTCGGTTTATGTATACTTGATAGCTGTACAGCTTTAAAAAAAATCATTATTACCATAGAACCAAATTAAATAATAATTTTGGCATCAGTGATTATGTAAATTTTTTAATATGGGATTTTGCTGCTGCAACAGAGGATGAATTTGTTTTGAAGCTTTTCACACATATTTTCAGGGCTGCCAGTGAATGTGGAGGATGCAGAATATACAGGTGCTGGTCATAAAATTAGAATATCATGAAAAAGTAGATTGATTTCAGTAATTCCATTTAAAAAGTGAAACTTGTATATTATATTCATACATTACATACAAACTCATATATTTCAGATGTTTATTTTGTTTAATTTTGATGATTACAAATGACAACCAATGAAAATCTCAAATTCATCATATCAGAAAATTAGAATATTACTGAAGACCAATAAAAACAAAGGATTTATAGAAATGTTGGCCAACTGAAAAGTATGAACATGAAAAGTATGAGCATGTACAGCACTCAGTATTTAGTTGGGCCTCCTTTGGCCTGTATTACTGCAGCAATGCGGCGTGGCATGGAGTCGATCAGTCTGTGGCACTGCTCAGGTGTTATGATAGCCCAGGTTGCTCTAATAGTGGCTTTTAGCTCTTCTGAATTGTTGGGTCTGGTGTATTGCATCTTCTTCTTCACAATACCCCATAGATTTTCTATGGGGTTAAGGTCAGGAGAGTTTGCTGGCCAATTAAGAACAGGGATACCATGGTCCTTCAACCAGGTACTGGTAGCTTTGGCACTGTGTGCAGGTGCCAAGTCCTGTTGGAAAATGAAATCTGCATCTCCAAAAAGTTGGTCAGCTGCAGGAAGCATGAAGTGCTCTAAAACTTCCTGGTATGTGGCTGCGTTGACCCTGGACCTCAGAAAACACAATGGACCAACACCAGCAGATGACATGGCACCCCAAACCATCACTGACTGTGGAAACTTTACACTGGACTTCAAGCAACGTGGATGAAGTGCCTCTCTTCTTTTCCTCCAGACTCTGGGACCTTGATTTCCAAAGGAAATGCAAAATTTACTTTCATCAGAGAACATGACTTTGGACCACTCACCAGCAGTCCAGTCCTGTTTCTCTTTAGCCCAGGCAAGACGCTTCTGACGCTGTCTGTGGTTCAAGAGTGGCTTGACACAAGGAATGCGACAGCAGAAACCCATGTCTTTCATACGTCTGTGTGTGGTGGTTCTTGAAGCACTCACTCCAGCTGCAGTCCACTCTTTGTGAATCTCCCCCACATTTTTGAATGGGTTTTGTTTCACAATCCTCTCCAGGGTGCGGTTATCTCTCTTGCTTGTACACTTTTTTCGACCACATCTTTTCCTTCCCTTCGCCTCTCTATTAATGTGCTTGGACACTGAGCTCTGTGAACAGCCAGCCTCTTTAGCGATGACCTTTTGTGTCTTGCCCTCCTTGTGCAAGGTGTCGATGGTCGTCTTTTGGACAACTGTCAAGTCAGCAGTCTTCCCCATGATTGTGTAGCCTATAGAACTAGACTGAAAGACCATTTAAAGGCTTTTGCAGGTGGTTTGAGTTAATTAGCTGATTAGAGTGTGGCACCAGGGGCCATCAATTTTGAACCTTTTCACAATATTCTAATTTTCTGATATGATGAATTTTAGATTTTCATTTGTTGTCATTTGTAATCATCAAAATTAAACAAAATAAACATCTGAAATATATGAGTTTGTATGTAATGTATGAATATAATATACAAGTTTCACTTTTTAAATGGAATTACTGAAATCAATCTACTTTTTCATGATATTCTAATTTTATGACCAGCATCTGTACATATATGTAAATATACATATATATATATATATATATATATATATATATATATGCATATATATATACACATATATATATATATATTTATATTTATTTTATTTTTTAGGAAATTAAGATTATGAATTTAGTGGAAATTCAGATGTGTTTTCTGATATTTTATGTAAGAGAACAGTTACCTGTAACTACTTGTCAACCTATTTAATCCTTTGCTGTGTGGTAGTTTTCTGTATTTCTGTACACTATTTGTTTACCTGCTTAAATTGCCCATTTAGGACCTTCTTTAGTGTTTTAACCTTTACAGTACAGATGAGCTTATTGTGGACAAAGCCCAGTCTTAATTTAACCACCTTATTAGATTTAGCAATTAGCTTTAGTTTTACATTGGGTATATAAAGTTTGGTTATGACTAGGAATATCTAGAACTCTTAATAGACAGGGTTCTGGTAGGTGTTTAGGTATAGAAATGAACGCAGGTGGTGAAATGAATAGCAGTCAATACACCAGAGTGTGTTGTGTTGTTTGGTCCCCTGTGACTCCACCAACAGTTCCAGCAAACTAAAGAAGCTGCAAGATGAAATTTGCATGCAATTAAGGATTAAATGTCAGCCCATGTGGATATTTTGTGCATGCATTGTGTGTTGGAGTGTGTGTGGGTAAGTGTTTAAGTAATTGCACTTGTCATGCTGTGTTGCTGTAAAACTGTTTACAGAGCTGCACAGTAGGTTCTCGCCTCCGTTTTGGGAATATTATGCAAACCTCCTTGATGTATATATTTACATTTCAGCTTTAAAGACTTCCTGTTTTGGGTTTCAGGACGACTAAACAGTGAAGACTGGGAATGGGCAAGTCCTGGTTTCCCTCTTGGGTGAAAGAAACTCCACAAACAGCGTGAACAGGTGTCAGAACAAAGCCCTGGCAAATGAAAGACAGCAAACATTCATGTGTGTGCATGTGTGATTGCCCACCTTGTCACAGAGGACTGGCTGACAGGTGGTTGTGTGGCATTTCGACTGACCCTTGTCGCATACACATGTGGTGCAGGCGTCCTTCTGCCACTGCTCCCCGTGCTGCAGAGACACACAGACGCACATTTAGATCAAGTTTAAATAAAAAAAAATCTATTAAACTCCAGTGAGGTTCCTTCCTTTGAAAATTGTTCAAACACGAAGCCAACCCACAAAAGTCAAATAAATCCTTTCTGTTTTGAAGATTAAATGGTAATCAAAATGGAGACTAATAAACCTTAATTTATCCCCCTGCTTTGTGTTTTGTCATGCCTGAAATAATAAAAAAGTGCAGAAATAATAGTCAGTGGTGAATGTAAAACGGGAACTTTTATTAAAGATTTGGTTTGACCTTAACAAATCCTTCACTCTGGTATTCCAAGGCCAGACGTGAAGAATATAATCCCTGAAGGGAAATCGGTGTCTGCTTCAGGGTGAAGAGCATCTCTACAGCGAGCTGTAAGTTTACCTTGAACATTCAGCTGAGATTTTGATGATTTTATGCTTTTAATCACAAATGACCCGGGTGTATTAAAGCTACAGTGTGTAATATTTACAGGGATATACAGTCAGAAATGTAATATATTATACATAACTATGTTATTTATCATCATCTGCGAGCTCAGCCTCTTAACCTTAATATTTGCGTCGCCTTAGAATTCGTTATTTATAATTACATAGGAGCGGGTCTCGCAGCCATGGAGGCAGACATCTTTGCGCTACGGCAGCACAGAGCCAACAAACTAGCGATTGCGAGATCGCCAAAACGTCACAACGATGTAGAAAAAATAACGGGTATATTTATTATCTTAAGTCTACATGAAATCTATACCCTACACAGACTAATGAAATACTATCTGTAAAATTATCTATGTAAACAAACCTCATCACTTGAGAAGGTAGGTGATGCGGACGTCGTGGAAGACATTTTGTCCCGTAACGCTCGCCGTACTGTTGGGGGGGAGAAGCGGTGGGGGGAGATGTTCATGTTGCTGCAGTCTGCAGTCTGACCGCTAGATGTCGCTAAAAGTTACACACTGTAGCTTTAAAACTGATGTATTTTGGCGAGACATAAACATGATAAACACCTTCAGACAGAATAAAAGAGCCTTGCAAAGTTTTCAGGTGGCAGAAAAAGGTTTCACTTGACTTCTGCTTCCCTAGATAAAATCAGGCCTTTATAGTTCACCTGTGTGTGATTTAAAAATGCAGATGTTTCTTTTTGGGCCTCAGAGGGTTTTCCTGGAGAGCAAAGAGTCACATGAAGGCCAAAGAAGACAGAGCACAGGTCAGAAAGATGTGCACAAAGCTTTGAACATTTTTATAGAACTAATGAGATGAAAGTATACATTAAATAATTACAAAAAATTTTTTGTTTTTTTTACTCATGATGGGATATGCAAAATATCATGAATTTATGTTAATATCAATTATGTAAAATTCAAAATCCAACTGCTGTCTAAAGTTAAACAAATAAAATATTAAGGTCATTTAGTAGAAAAAGGCCTCATCTATTTCATAATGTCATGTGTTACATGAAATGAGAACCTGCCATTTTTTCTTAATCCCTGATTAAGAAAACCTTTCATTCATTTAAAGTAAATTAGGTTTTCTTAATAATAACTATTTAAATAAATTAAGACATTCAGTTAGAAAGCTATAATTTTAGTTATATCACATATCCATTTAAAATGTATATATAATATCACATAATACTGAATTGCTTTTCTATATTTTTGGATGTGTGCTTCTTTTATTCGTTGCAGAGTGTCTGAGAAGAAAAAATTACTTTTCAGGATTTTTCTAAGAGTGCCTTTTTTCAGCCTTATTTTAACAGGTCATGGAGAGAGAAGCAAGGTATTCATCTGGTTTAAATTGGTCTTTAAATCCATTCACAGCTAGACCTGGTGATTTATGTTCCCTTTCAAACAATAACGAGAACAGTGCTGGCAAAAGCATCGTCAATTTGGATACATCAAAGTGAAAACTGGTTCAGTATCAACATCCCGTGTTAATATTTCTGTTTTGTTTACTGATATTCTATATATTTTACATTGTCCTTCCCTTTAGACACAATTAAACAAAGGATCAAATTCCTCCCCACCAGCTACCCATGGATGGAAGAAAGACCCCAAACTCTGCAATGCTCTCTAAGGGAGGGGTTGAAAATGAGCGGGTGATAGTGTTTCTATCTAAAAAATGTTTTGGTTTGGTTTAAGTCCAACAATCCTATTACTGTCTCTATTAGTGTCACATACAAAAAACAAATTCTACATGGAAAATCTCCTTCACTTGCCGTCCTAAACAAATAAACAAACAGCAACAAGATGAAAGCAAACATCAGTTGTTAATATTGGCCCAGTTTAATTAATTTTAAATAAAAATAAATAAATAAATAAAACATAAAAAAACATTGAAGCAATGTTGAAATTAAGACTATTATAATATAAAATAGTCATTTAATAGCATAAAGATTCCTATTCTCACGCATATCAGCCCAGACTGATTCCCTGTTTCAACGCGTCAGCTCTAATAACTATAATCTGGATAAAACTGGGGTCACCGTCCCATAGATGTCAGATTAAATTCTAGATGAGTTTCTCTTTAAAGTTAAATGTCTGGATTAAATATTGACCCAGAGCTCGGAGATTTCTAATTATTTCACTATTTAGAACATCAAAAGCCAGCGATGCTCTTTGAACGTCGATTACCTCCTGAGTGATTTATGACGTTCCAGGAGGATTTAAACTCACTTTGGAGAAAATGATGCACTTTTCTCTGAACAAGTTGATCAAAAGAGATCAGAATATTCATCTATATTCAACCTGAAACTTGCTTAAACATTCACTGACGTACTCCATCCACAGTCACAGTGAGGAATAATGCAGCAAAACAGATCTGATTAAATATATCTATAACAAGTCAGGAAAAACATGCACAAAATAGGACTTTCTTTAAAAATGTTTCGGATAGATAAGAGATAAAGAAAAAACAACTTTTAATTCAATAAGTTATGAATCTCCCTTTGCAGTGGAATTTCCTTTAAAAATCTCTACCAACAGACAGGAGAGCAAGAAAATCTATAGGTGTGAGTGCAGGTTTGAGTTAGAGGTGTCCAAAGTGGCTCACCAGACTCAGGCCTGTAGACATAAAGCCAAAACCAATGGGAGCCTGACCTTAAAACCCAATGTTAATAATTATTTTATTTACTGTATTACTGCTTCTAGACGCAGTCAGTCTACCCAGATGTGCTTGTAGTGCAGTTTACAAGCAGGGTGTAGCACAGCAGAGCAGACAGAGACTGATCTGTTACCTTTCCCTGCTCCTGCAGCTGCAGTCTGGTCTCCATCATCCTCACCCTGAGTGCTTCCAAATCAGGTGGATTACACCTCATGGTGTGATTCATTTGCACACTGCATGCTCTACTCGTGTCTGATCACTTGCTGCATTTCACTTTCTTTGTTTAAAAAAAAAACAACCAACAAAAAGTAAACTACAACTGCTCTATTTGATAATAGGTTTAACCATATTTTCTCCACCACATCTAAAGAAAGTTTATACCACCTAAAAAAAAAAAAAAAAAAAAAGCCTGATCCATACCTGACCCCCACCCAAGAGCCCTGTGTAATATAACGCCCCAAACCAGCTTAACATCTAGTTCAGGCTTGGTCTAGAAATCTGTTCATTAGCTCATATTTACAGTTGGTAGATGAAGATGGATGGACACATCTTTGTTTCTTTAAATAAAGATGCATAATCACATTAAGGCTACGTTCACACTGCAGGCCATAATGCTCAAATCTGATTTTTTTGTGAAATCCGAATTTTTTGTGTTGCTGTTCACATTTCCAAATAAATGCGACTCGGATCTCCTTTGTGAACTGCAGTCATACAACGCAAATGTTCCGCATGCGAAGTGTTTACTGAAGTAAAGATCGCCTTAAAAACACAATGTTTTCAGTATGGATAAACATAAATACTACTCTCCTCATCATCGTCCGCCATGGTTGTGTTTTCTTGACGCAGAATAGTGACCTTTGTCGGGTATTAATGGTGTTCAGGTCGGATGAATGCGTCCTGGCCGTTTAGACACAGGTCGGATTTGAAAAGATCAGATTCGTATCGGATCCAGGACCACATAGCCAGGTGGCCTGGTTCAAATTGGAAAAAGTCAGATCTGTGTTGTTCAGACTGTCATGAAAAGATCAGATGCAAGTTGAATATGGGCAAAAAAATCGGTTTTGGGTTACTTCAGGCTGCTGTGTGAACGCAGCCTAAATGCCTAACCAAAATAATCAAGATAAAATATCGTTATATAGACCAAGAATAACAGTGTGTTTTGTTCTCTTTGAGCCTAAGTAGAAATGAGCAAACATCAACAGGTATAGTGCCCTCTGTATGGCAGTACCAAGGAATTACAAGAAAGCTAGATGGCGAAAGCCGACACAGCTACTTAACAGAGCCTGACCGAGCCCAGCCACCCTGCAATGCCTCACGGTTAAGTGACAGCTTGCTATAAATAAAGACCAACCGATATTATTTGAGGTAACCGATCTACTGCGACTCTAAATACTGATTAATCCTCCCCTCAGCATCCTGTTGTTGTTCATTCCTACCAAACAAACAAGGACACAACTTTGAGATAAGAAATACTGGGATTAAATAGATGAGGATTAAATAGAAGTCAAAGACAGAATCCTCTTCATTGGAATAAACGGAAAATAAAACATATCATTATGTTTTTTTTTCAAGTCCGGAGTTTAGTTTGTCAGAGTTTAGCTATGACAAACAGCTCTGTTTGTTTCGATCTATCCATTTATAACGTTGTTTGTAGCATTGCTATCACTACTAGGGTGCAGTAATCTTCCAGAAAAACTTTGTGAGCAACCAACGTAGTGTTCGGAGTGTTCTTAAGCTGCTGACTGCCACTACCTCGACGCCAGAGTGTTTGCCAGTTTTGGGTACTCTAGCCAAGCTGAGTTTTGCTGAGTCAAACTGAGTTCTTGTCAACCTGAGTTTTAACATTGTTTTGTCTTTGCCTCTCAGCAGGAAGTCATCCTGCAAACTTGATTTTTCAGACCTTCTCTCCCTGGAAGGATCAACTGGGCTACAAACTTAGTTGGGGTTCAAACAGGAGGTTTGGATCCACTTTCCCCAAGAGATCGTTTGAGCTTCGCACTGAGAAAGGGATTCATCTCCACTACGACCCATTCAAATACCGCAGGAAATCTGAGTGGCAGTCAGTTTCTCCATTCACCTACAAACAACCGCATTCTGGGTAAACCCTGTTCCGCCCTCCATCGAATCAGACAAACACTGGAACAACAGCATACAGACTGGAGTCAAGAATTCAACAACTGCTCTGGGAAAGTGAGTCAGCAACCAAATCCTCTTCTCCAAGTTCACGAGTCAAATTTCCCACTGAGCCTGAACTAACCTACTGTGTCTTCCCCTCACTTTTCAGTTCCGGTTGAGCAGTGTTCAGAGCAACACTTCTCTGCGTATTATCTCTTTAAAAAAACCTGTTAAAACTTTTCCCTGGTCTCCCTGTTTGGTCTTCTGCATTTGGGTCTGAACTTTAGTAAAATCATGACTCAAGTAGCATGTCTGGTTTTTAACACATTTGGTATTTAAACCTTTTACTTCTTTTTATCTTCCTCAGGCTGTGATCTATAATCAAAGCCTGTTTTCTTCATATTTTGCAGCCCAATTCACTCTGTGCTCCCTGTTTTTCTTGAACTTGACTCTTACGTTTCTGTAGTTATTTTTAACCTCTTCATGAACTAATTCTAACTGACATTATTATGATATTGCTGCTGCTATGACCATCTTTGGAGTTTGGCCAGACGTAACATACCTTTATTAGACATTAAGGTTTTGCTTTATTGTGAGAATGTTAATTGGCTACAAAAAAATTGCAAAAACTGTGGCTTTCAAGTTCTTTTATCCGTATGGTTAAAAAAAAAATTGACATCACTGATTTTTGTGTTTTTATTTACATCTTGGCAGTTCTCAAAGCTTTAATGTTCTGACACCAGACATTTAAAAGGAAACATGGAAGAAAATATTCCCTTTAGTCTTGGAAAACTGTCTGCATTTTATACTTATCGGCATTTAGTAGCTGATATCCAGAATCCCATGCATTACTTCTGTAAATAATTCCCTTTTCAAAGATTGCACCCTTGCTGGTGGATCTGACAGCTGAGAGTGGTGCATTCAAACATTAGACAGAGTGGAAACCCAGTGATGTGATCAAAGTGAGAGATCAGAGTCTGCACTGCAGGAAGAAACAAACAGCTGAGCACAACGAGTAAAGAAAACGGATATACGCTGCGTTTAGGATGAAATAATGCTCAGCAAGAAAGAGCCTACCTGGTACTGTGTTCCAGCAGAGAGACATGGGTTGGACACACATCTGGGACAGCATTGGCCTGGCTGGATCACCAGGTTTTCATGCTGAGGGAGAGAAAATATTTGTTGGGTTATGTAAAGTGTTGGTAAAAAGAAAAACACATTCAGGTTCTGAAATGTTAATCTGACATTCATTTTGAGAACATTTCTGTAGAATCACAGCTCTCCTAAGGTCCATCCTAAAGCCTAGTAATTGACTATGCCACGCTAATACCTTTAGTATTTTCATTTAGGTGCAGATTTTCTGCCATGTTTGGGATCACCGTTCCAAATACTGACATGGATTATACGGTTAAATCATTAACTCAACGCCACCAATGTGGTTTGGGATCTGGTGTTTGTGCTGACAGGATGGGTTTGTTTCTCTCCAAATATGTATCTTGGAATTATACTAAAACACAAGCAGCTTTGCAAATATTATTTTATTTTATTTTTTTGAAAAAAGTATTTCTTCTTCAAACCTTCCATACAAACCATACTTTTTCTTTGTGTGTGTTCTACCGTAAATGTTAACATTTCTGCTAACTGAGGGATTTGGAGTCTGACACACAACCGTTGTTATTTTTTTACCTTACAAAAAAGTTTTTAAAAAAAACAATCCACTGGACTTTGTTTTCCAAGTTTGAAGACATTTCGCTTCCCATCCAGGAAGTTTTTCTATTCAAATCTACACCCTATGGACAAAGGACATTCTTTTCGAGGACCAAAATTTTGGACAAAGAAGACAGGTGGTTTGAAAGGGGTGTGAAGGAAGCCATTTCTGTTAAGAGAGAAAAACCAACCTGAAACAGAGGGGGTGGACTCAGGTTTCAGCTCTCAAAAACATACAACGCATATTAGACAACATATTAGACTTTTCAGATGCCAACATTATGTCAGAACACATCTATGTTTCAAACTAGCAAAAAGCCAGACATCCTGCTTTAATGAACGTGCTGATCATCAATGACTTCATGTTATAAGCAAGTAATCTATCTGCTAAAAGCCTAAATCTTCTTTTAAGCATCACTGTTCTATAAGTTGTCGTTGATTTTGACTTTCCTCTCATCATTTTTCTAAAAGCCAGTGTCTCCATCGCTCTACTGAATACATGTCACTGAGCTGAGTAGAACAGACACAAAGCCACAATGGCTGCCAGTGGGAAAATAAAAGATGCAAAACGTGTCAAGTGTGCTGGAAGTGAAACTCACTTGTTTGCAGGCCACTGGCTGACACTCCACCACTGAACACTGGGCTTTTCCATTGCTGCAAACACATCTGGAACACATGCTGGGCTCCCACTCCTCGCCGTCCTTGTAGACCACCCCCTGCCAAGAGCAGGGCTCTGACACAGACAAAAGAAACCGAATGAGGAAAATTGTTGGGTAACGAGCTGGCTCTTTAAGCATTTCTCCTCTGCAGGATCGGTGATGTTGAATCTGGCCTATGAATTAACTTATCAGCTGCTAAACACATAGAAAAATTATTATTGCTCCAAGACATCATTAAATCAAATAATTAACATTTAGGCACAAAGCTTATATGTTTACCAATCTCTCTTACTGTATGTCAAAGCATTGTTTGGAAAACTTTCCTAAATGATAAATGCCTTTAGCAATATCAGTTAAAGGAAAAAGTCAGTTTGTACTCCACCTTTTCACCTTTTAATTTAATAATGCTGGTTATTTTTTTTACAAATGCTTATCATCATAAAGTCCTTATGCAGTTTAAAAATATTTAAAGAAATATATGTGTAAATAATTTTAGCATCAGCTTTCCTAAAGCATATTCAGGTGGAACTCACTAAATGAACCTATTCATAAATATTGATTTAGGTATATTTCAAATGTGTGATATTAGCCAATGATAGCACAACGACAGGGACCAATTGAGGTGGAACAAGAGCTTGCTGAAGGTTCCTAGTTCCACATTGAATGTATAATAACTGGAATTGGAGGAATGCACATGCTATCTTCTCTGTGTATGTAATACAAGGCTTTGATGCCTATTCGCGACAATATGCATAAGGGGTTAAAATGTTATAAAAATGCTATTTTTGTTTAGTTACTTTGGATCAGACACCAACTTGAATAAAGTATAAAATAATAGAGATTCTAATGTAGAAATGTGTGCCTACTGTAAAGTAGCTCCATGTACTTTCATTATCTGCACTAACTATCTGCTTAGGGCTTATTTTAAATTAATGATTGCATCAATGCAGCGCGGGCGGCATAGTGGAGATCAGCCTGTAGTTCTGCTCTGGAGTTCTGAAATCTCATCTGTGCCGTCAGTTCTGATGTTCTTAAACTTCCTGTTTATAATTCCCCATAGATTCCCTACAGAGTCCAGGTCAGAGTAGTTTATTGATGTGCACAGTAACACCAGGCTCATTAAAGTTAGTTTTGGCACCAGAAAATCTAATCTTCCCCCCTAAAGCTTCTCATCAGAAGAAAGCGTGATGCTCTAAAATGTCTTGTTAGCCTTTCAGCTACAGACCAGCTCTTACCGATCTTCTGCAAAATTTTGAACAAGCTTGACTTTACAATCCATACAGTTATTCCTAATGGTTTTGAACCATTTACTACAAAATTTTTTCATTTGTTATTTAAAGCAATGCAACAGCTTCTTCAGGAAGGACTTCCTATGACTTCTGTGATGGATCCCTGACTATCTGCTGGACAGATACACTTTGGTGTTAAAAGCTTTTTGATACAATATACATTTAATAATAAAGATTAGCTTTTCAATGATATTCTTATTTATATGAAGCTGTTCTTTTTTGTATTTAGTTTAGTAGACAAAATATGCCTCAAAATTCTTGATATAGCAAAATAACTTTGACACCTTGTAATTGCAGAATTAGGGTTCCCTTTTATCTTACGGTGATTGAACATCTAAAACTATTGAGAATGTATTTTTTTTTTTTTTTTCAGGACAATTTTGAAATACCTGTTAATAAGAAAAGGCTTCTCTTAAATGAAGACTTTTTTTAAGAAAAAGGTTTAACATGAATCAATGGCAGATATTTCTGCAAATATGAGACCTGGGGGAACCAGAAACAGGATGGAGGAGAACAAAACAAGGAAAGACATTGAGATAGAATTCAGAAGGAACAAATGACTGAAAGAAAGGAGTTGAAGCAGATGGACTTAATAAAGGAGGAAAGGACACAGAGGAAGGACACAATCACAATTAAGGATCTAAGTAAAGAAAATATAAAAATAAAGAGAAGGTTGTAAGAAAGGGAAGGGATTGGCAAAGGAAAACAGGAAGTAATTAAAAAAATAATTAAATAAAAAAACAGAAAATAAAAAAAGCATTATAAAAACAATGTAAAGAAAAATACAAAGACCATTGCAAAGGCATCACTGTAGTAGTATTAAAGTATCAGAAGCCAATTTAAATACATAAGCCTCAAGTTCATAGGATTTAAAAACTACCAGCTCTACAAGAGGGCATTAGTTTTGGGAAACCTTATTCTACATCCCAGAGCAACAACAAAAGCACTAAAGCCCCAGTGATTGTATCTTAGATCTGATGCACTGATTTGAAAGAAGGAAGGTAGAAGGAAGAAAAGACACAAGGAAGGAAGGGCAGAAGCGCAATAAAGGTATTGCTCTTATTTACACCGCGTCCACTCCGTCCAGCTGCAAACTGCCCAGCAAATTTCCAACAGGGATAATCAAAGAAAGCATTCATTGTCTGCTCTGCAGCACAGGGCAAAGTCAGCAGACAGCATGATATTGTTGTGTTCATTGCTTTGCTACATTACAGTAATTTTTCAGCTTGGGATCAATAATATACATCAAATACAATCCAAAATTCTATCTGATTCTAGTTTTGCCAAAGACTGCAGCAAGACCAAAGTAAATATTCAGAAATCCAATTGCTCCAACAGGAAACTGAATCACCACAGCATTCAGATTTTCAAAAGAGCCACTAAAGATGACTATATTTTATTAAAAACATTGCTATCTTAAGGTATTTATGATTATATTTGTATATATGTGTGTACAGTATATTATCAACTGGGCACTTTAGATCAAATACCGGGCTGCAGATTTTAACAAAACTAAAAGAACATGAAGTGCATAAACACTGTATAATCAACAAATATAGCTTTTCTGCACCCAGTATACTCACTCATTGTAGAATATAACTGTTAAAGGCGATTAACATGTGATATGCCCACACTCCTTGGATCTGCTGTGGGCTTTGCAGCACAGCGGAGCAAACATGATATACATTAAGAAGTTTGCAGCACACCGGACTGGAGGGGAAAGGACGCTGTGTAAATTAGGGGTAAGAAGGGAAGGGAAAAGCAAGAAAGGACCATGCAAATACGTGTTTTCAGGTATTTCAGGTTAGACTTGTGGTTAATATTGTTAAATAATGAGTAAGACATTCCAAATGTTCTGTAAAAATCAATTGCAAGAGATTGTTAGATGTTATAGTTTTGTCTTATTTGGAAATTTTAATAATTAATCAAAACATGTAGCCTGTAATATAAAAAGCTGAAGAACAGTTACTTCCTAAACAAATGCATTCGGTATAAACCATTAATGTACTGAGTGATTTGAAGCAACCCTCACCTCCATTTCGGCCACACTTGGGGCAGCAATCTCCAGTTGGAATGAATGGTTTCTCATCCCCCAAACAGGTGACATTGGGGCAGGGCCGAGTATGGCAGGATACACCACCTTTGGAGCAAACGCATACCGAACAGGGCGAGACACTCCACTGACTGTTATGCTGTGGGAAGCAAACAAACAAGGAAAAAAAAATGGGGTAATTACAAAGAGATATACAGCCTGAGGGAAAACAGGAAGGAGAAGAGATAGTTTGATGAAAAAGACTCTTTGAGGATATGAAATGTGCTAAGCCTGAGTGACAGATGGGAAAACAGTCACTGAGCAAGTGGGATGTGTAACCATTGAATAAGAAAGATCATAAAGGGACAGAAGAAGAAGAAACTTTTTATGGTAATAAAGAGGCAAATGTATACACTAAAGACGGAAAATATCTCAGACGTCTGAATCAGCTGCTGGAAGCATGCAGGAAACTAAACTGTTTGCTTGCAGCTAGCGGTGAACCTGCTGCAGTTTGGCGTTTGGAGGGTTACGGGGTCATGCCTCTCACCAGAAAACATTGTGTTTTAATAACCAAAGCTGTGTTCTCCACACTGATTTCATTCCTTGTCAGTCTGTAATACATATTTGTAAAAGGAAAACATGACATCCCTTGTATGACTTTGGTAGTTTATATTATAAAGCAATAGTACAACATCAAAGCATTTTTAAAGGTTTTGATTTCGGTTAAAACCCCGCAAATTTTTATTTTCCCATGTGGATCCTCTTCTGTGAAAATTTTGAAGTGTCCTTAAAAAAGCTAATATTTCCTGTCTGCACCTGAGGCAGAGAGGTTCTGATGGAAGAAATAAAATCAGCTTTATTTGATTGAATTTGATTTGTATATCAGAAGTAAACATTGTCATAATGAAAAAACAAAAAAAATCACAAAGGAATATGAACAGATGGATAACAGAGCAAAGAAAGATAAATCAATTATAAACTTAATCGTTAAACGAAATGGAAGCAGTTTTCAACAGAGCAAACAGTATAAAGCTGGAAATTAAAAGCTCTGCAGCCCGATCTGCAAATTAAATCTGATGGACAAAGCTTTATATATACAATATCCTTAATTTTATTGAATTATTTATTGAATTTTTATACCTGCCATTTTTAAATCAATTTGATTCATGCGGTCTATTATAATTTAGAGGTAAAAATAGAACAAATGAGAAATAATAAAATAGAGACCTTTGACAAAAGGTTTTGTGAAGCTAACATTTTATGAGGAAATATAATTTTTTTTTACAAAAACAGAGAAATAGCGAGCCAAATTAAACATGAACTTGAAAAGTAAATGTGTAATTTACATTTGGGCTGAGTCTTGACAGTACAGTACCTTTAACTGCCCTGGGATAACGGTAAACTCTGTTAGCTATTGCTAATGTGCATCTAGTAAAGACTGTTTTTAGGGATCATTTTATATGAAAATCAACTTTATTTATATTGCTGCCATTTATAAGACACAATATCACAGCACAATAAGATCATACATTCAGATCAGTAAATATTTTCCAAAGAAAACCAGCTGATTGCATCAAGGCATTGACTTTAAAGCAGAGGTCTTCAATGTTTTCCAGGCCAAGGACCCCCAAACTGATGGCAAGATGGAGCAGGGACCCCCTAATTTTATATATTGTATATACACTCACCGGCCACTTTATTAGGTACCCCATGCTAGTAACGGGTTGGACCCCCTTTTGCCTTCAGAACTGCCTCAATTCTTCGTGGCATAGATTCAACAAGGTGCTGGAAGCATTCCTCAGGGAGTTTTAGGGCTGGGCGATATGGAAAAAATACTATATCACGATATGGATTATTTTATATCACGATAACGATATATATCACGATATACCACAACTGATGTTGCATTTTATGTTTTCATAGTCCGTCAGATGGACAGGGTTGAAAAAATCTTTCATCGCCTATTTTTTACCCATCATCTTGTTTCCTAATATGAGAATCCCAACCCCAAACCAAGAACACCAGTTATGCAATTTGCGGCCATGACAGTGAACAGTATAGAATCTTGGCTATTGCGCTGCAGTAATTAATCATTTAATATTCATTTGTTATTGACATTTTATAAAATTCCAAGGCCAGTTTTTTCTCTTGTCTTTCACTTACCTTGTTTTCCACTAGGAGGCGCCTCGCCTATTTAAGAAGAAATGTGTCTGCACTGGTAATACATTAATTAAAATGCCCACATGTTCTACTGGATAGGAGTGTCAGTGTAGTTAAAAATGTGATCCATCATACGATCTGTACCACAATTATGGGTGTTTCAGTTGTTCTCTTTATTTTTCAGCAGTCACAAGAGAAACGTGCTGCACAGTTTAAAAACATGGAACACAACAGTACTATACAACAAACTATAACAAACAGTACACACTAATACACACAGTATGATTTACTCTAAAGGGGAAAAAGTGAATGCTACAGCACCTTTGTGTGTAAACACAACACTTACAGGTGCAGTAGCCTTCACTTTTCCCCCCTTCAGAATAAATTATAATATCAGTGAGGTCCAGTAATGGATGCGTATGCTGTAAAAGCACACAGTTCATTGGTGTAAGCATATTAGTAAAACCAATAATAGTAAAACTAGCGAACGTACAAAAGTGCATAGCAATGTCAGGCTCATACCTTGGGCGAGCATCACTCCGGTGTGGTCCTCAGGAAAGTACACGGTCTGTAGACACCGAGCGCGGAGGGTCCAGTCCGTGATAAGGATGGTGAGACTCATATAAGGCTGTGTTGCTCTACTCATCCACATGTCCGTAGTCAACGCATAATGCGTCGCACCACTGCGTACCTCTCTCTCCACTTCAGCCCGACAACTAGCATATAAGCCAGGCAGCTCCGCTTTAACGGTAAAATCTTCTTGGGTGTCCATCATTAATTTTTTTTCAAGCCAGAAAGAAATTTCACGGGCTCTCTCCATCAGTAATGTCGCAAACGTATGGTGCAAAGCCGCGTGACGTAAAGCGGTGTAGTGTCGCAAAACCACGTTCTCTACACATTATCTTTTTATTCTCTTTTTTTTTTTCGTTATATATACTTAGAGTTTGCATAGCAAAAACGCAAAATGTTATATTAACAGATTATATTAAAATGTATATTAGCAGTAATAATAATAATAAAGAAGTTTATCACGATAGAAAAAATAGAGGAGAAAGGTCACGATAGACATGTTTCTCTCGTCCTCACGATATATATCGCCATATCGCCCAGCTCTAGGGAGTTTGGTCCAAAATGACATGATGGCATCACACAGTTGCCGCAGATTTGTCGGCTGCACATCCATGATGCAAATCTCCCGTTCCACCACATCCCAAAGATGCTCTATTGGATTGAGATCTGGTGACTGTGGAGGCCATTTGAGTACAGTGAACTCATTGCCATGTTCAAGAAACCAGTCTGAGATGATTCCAGCTTTATGACATGGCGCATTATCCTGCTGAAAGTAGCCATCAGAAGTTGGGTACATTCTGGTCATAAAGGGATGGACATGGTCAGCAACAATACTCAGGTAGGCTGTGGCGTTGCAACGATGCTCAATTGGTACCAAGGGGCCCAAAGAGTGCCAAGAAAATATTCCCCACACCATGACACCACCACCACCAGCCTGAACGGTTGATACAAGGCAGGATGGATCCATGCTTTCATGTTGTAGACGCCAAATTCTGACCCTACCATCCGAATGTCGCAGCAGAAATCGAGACTCATCAGACCAGGCAACGTTTTTCCAATCTTCTACTGTCCAATTTCGATGAGCTTGTGCAAATTGTAGCCTCAGTTTCCTGTTCTTAGCTGAAAGGAGTGGCACCCGGTGTGGTCTTCTGCTGCTGTAGCCCATCTGCCTCAAAGTTCGACGTACTGTGCGTTCAGAGATGCTCTTCTGCCCACCTTGGTTGTAACGGGTGGTTATTTGAGTCACTGTTGCCCTTCTATCAGCTCGAACCAGTCTGGCCATTCTCCTCTGACTTCTGGCATCAACAAGGCATTTCCGCCCACAGAACTGCCGCTCACTGGATGTTTTTTCTTTTTCGGACCATTCTCTGTAAACCCTAGAGATGGTTGTGCGTGAAAATCCCCGTAGATCAGCAGTTTCTGAAATACTCAGACCAGCCCTTCTGGCACCAACAATCATGCCACGTTCAAAGTCACTCGAATCAACTTTCTTCCCCATACTGATGCTCGGTTTGAACTGCAGGAGATTGTCTTGACCTTTTCTACATGCCTAAATGCACTGAGTTGCCGCCATGTGATTGGCTGCTTAGAAATTAAGTGTTAACGAGCAGTTAGACAGGTGTACCTAATAAAGTGGCCGGTGAGTGTATATTGATTCACTCCTCCTGTACAGTATAAGAATAAGGTGACAGTAGAGAGGAAAATCTCCCTTTTAACAGGAGGAAACTTCCAGCAGAACCAGACTCAGAGTGATCACCTATATCAAATGCAGTGTTTAACCATTGCTGGAAACCACTAATTTTTCTTAAAAGAAAAATGATTAAAATAAATAGGAGGGCTTTTTTTTCTATCTCAGATCATGTGACTCAACTTTCTGTGTGAAGTTTAAAATACCATTTAAACTCAAAATATTATTCAAGCTTTTATGCCAGCTTAAAGTTTCCCACACCCATCTAGGGCACATGAGTTTTCAAAATTTTCACAGACCCTCAGTGGGAAAAGATTAAATCCTCAAAAAAAGCCATGACTCCTCCATCCAACTCCTCCCCCTGGAGCTCAGATCTGTGTGCAAAGTGGGCAATGCCAGCTGAGTCTGAAAGCCCTGCCAAGTGAGAGACTTGTTTCTGTCGAGGACTTGTTCTGTCTAAATTGGCTGCCAAAAAGCTGAAGGACACTTGATTGAAGATAAACAAGGGAGCAATGCTTTTGTTTGAGGAGACAGGAGGCGAAATGTCAAGAAACAACTTTTCCACAAAGATGACTATCAGCAGTGTCTGAAAATATATCCAAATACAATCCTGCTTCCATTGGTAAATAAATAAAAGAGATCAGTGTTTGACTGTGAATTGCATCTGATAATAAAGAGAGTTTTCTAATACATGTTTGTAGATATTGTAGAAAAGAGTCATATGTTCTGTCCCTCATAGTACAATGAGTGTGTTGGGATTTTATGTAACAAGCTAGCATAACTGATGTGGAAGAAAAAGGTTTAATGAAACACCACATATTTTAAGAATTAACACACATATAGACACGGACAAAGAATCAACTGAAAGAAAAAAAATTCCAACACAGCCAAACATGTAATATCCAGCATTTTTTCTAACTCCTATCCTCTTTTCAGGTTTATTGGAGTCCAGCTGTAACTGCTAGAAACTAATACCAAGAGGAAAGCCTGTATCTGCCTCTCCAGGTTATGCCAGAAGTAGTGAGGAGGATTAAAATCAGCCTTTTTCAGAAACCGATTCTTTCTAAACGGCCTTTCTACTCAGGGGAAATACTGTTCAATAAAAAAAGTTAGAAACTTCTAGCAAAATACAGTATCTGAGCTAAACAGGCATAAATTCATGACTGAAGTAAAAGAACCCTTAGAAAATTTTCCATTCAGTTTGTTTATATAGCGCCGATTCACAACACGTCAACTCAAGGCTCTTTACAGAGACAATTCAACCACATCAGATAGATTGGTTCAGAATTTTCCATATACGGAAAACCAGTTGATTGCTTCGACTTATTGACTCGAAAACAATCCCTTACACCAAGCATGCTTGTAGCAACAGTGGAGAGGAAAACCTCCCTTTTAAAAGGAAGGAACCTCAGAAAAAGACTCAGTGTGAGCGGCCATCTGCTGAGGCCGACTGCATTTCAAGGAGATACAAATATTTCTTGTGAAAAAGTATGCATTCCAGTGGGATTATTTTTTATGTTAAAGCAGCAAAAATATCAGTGCTTAAATGCAAAGTGAAAGTAAAGGGATTATAAGCCTAATTGGGGGAGTGTTGGCCTAGTGTTTAGAGCAGTGTGCTTGTGCTCTGAGAAGGTTGCAATTACATGATAATGGCAGCCCACTGCATCCTAAGGGAGAAGGTTAAATTCAGAAAATGAATTTCCCCATTGCGAGACAATAAAATGATTTATAGTTACATTTACATTTTTCAATCATTCAGAATCATAAAGGTGTACTCCAAAGATGAAATCAACATTTATAAGCAAGCATCTTTTAGATTGTTTGCTCAACCACCAAAAAACAAATGCACCTTCTTAACTATTTCCAACAAAACTTAAGGTAAGTCAGTACCCTATTTATCTCTAAACAGCTTCCCTGTCTCTGTTGAGAAACATCCCCACAGCATGACACTCCCCCCACTATGCTTCAAGGTTGGGATATGTGTTCCATAGCCTTCTTTTCTGCCACAAATAATGTTTTACATATAGGCAAAAAAGTTCAGTTTTGGTTTCACCTAGAACCATTGCACCTTCTCCCACATTGCTTCTCTGATTAATGCTCTCTGCACAGCCCGTTTGTTTAGGTTAGTTTTTCTCCATTAGTGGGGCTTGTCTCCCTGCAAGGCATCAGAGGAAAGTAGGATTTTCAAGAGTTTTTACTCATACTTGAACATTAAAAAAAACCTCCGGTCACTAGGTGGCTGGATCAATCAAATGAATCAACCTGTGACAGTAGAAGAATTATAAAGCACAGGTGTGTGAGGAGCTGATGGAGGAGGAAATATGGAGAACTTTCTGATTCTAGTAAAAAGAAACAGAGGATGGCCCTATATAAATTAATTTAATTTAATTGAAATTGAACATAAGTTATGGTTGGAAATGAGGACAGATCTCATGTGTTCCTGCTTTCTGCTGCCAGATACCAAACCAAGCAAAAAAAGACAGGATCTGAAGACCTCTCATCCCAATTAGATGTATTTGATCAAAAACTGGACGAGTTAAGCTTGGAAAAACTTTTAGGTTGTCGCATGTGTTAGATTTTCTCATTAATTTGTTTTGATAATCATGTGATTTTGAAGCACTGCTGCTAGTAGCTCATAAATTAGGTAACAGAGGGCAAAAAAATCTATCCACATGTGGAGGTGGGACCCCCAGAGGGGTCACAAGATACCAAGTTGGGGGTCACAAGCTGGTGAAAATCACTGTGATCTGATCCCTAAAGTATGAGGGACGAAATAAATTTTTAAATCTATAAACGGGAATGTTGCATAAATTACAAATATGAAATTATCTTATATGTGATTAAAATATTAAATATAGCACTGAATGGTAAAAGGGAGCATTAAATAATTTGAAAAACAATTAAAATGATAATATTAATAATTTTTATTTTTAAAGAACGCATTAATTAAAAAAATAGAAAATACTTACCAAATTTTATATTAGAAATAATTATAGAGACTTCTCTAAATTCTCCTCAGGTGTGAGTGTGTGTTTGTCCTGTTTGTCTATGTGTTGCGTAGCGACCTGTCCAGGGCCCCCGCTTCTCACTCATAGACAGCTAGAGATAGGCACCAGCGGCCCTCACGACCCCAACTTGGATGAAACGTGACGTAAAATGGATGGATGGAATAATTACAGAGTGAAGTAATATATATGTATTTTTAGAAAGTCATCAGTCTTTTACATCGTTATTTTTGGGATCAGAGAACTTTTGGGAATCCCAAGTGTGGAAGATAAAAGAAGATAAATTGGTTTTATCAAACCAGGGATGTAATATTTGCATATTCTTAGTTACAGTTATCTTGCCTGTTTTTGATTAGAACTTCCTCTCAAACCACTTTGCTCTGTTCATCTATTTTCATCATAAAAACTTATTAAATAGCATATAAATGGTTTTAATTATAAATAATTTAATTTATAATTTAAACACTAACAGAATAGCTCCCCTTTTACTGAGATTAAATTACTGGTAGATTACTCTCAGAGATGGTGAGAGATAGTTCACTTTTTTTCTGGGATAGTCAGAGTTAATCACGTTGAATGTTGAAAAAGGACATGTAAGTATTACTGACATGTATGTTTTCTACTTCCCCCCCAAATGCAAAATGGTAAAACATCTGACTTTACTCACTCCATAAGTAGCTCCTTGGTACTGGCAGGAGTCCTGGGATGACGAGACGCACTCTGGACAGCATTTGTTGGCTGGAATCCTCAAAAACTCTCCCTTCAAAAAAACCACACACACACTCCGACACATCAATACACCACAATACACACAATACCCAAGAGTAATATAGGGAAAACAAACAACCAACACAAATACAATACATATCAAATCCAGCACATCTATTTCCATAGTTATTAACTGCCAAGAGGTCCTGACAGTAATGAATATATAAGAGCTTTATCAGATACTCAACATGTGCAGGCGTACAACACATATTACAATATACCAGACTTTTTTTGTTTTTTTCCTGCCGCTCTGCTTTCACACGGTAATTGAGGGCGGATGTGTGGTGGGAATCAAATGAGAAAGCAGCAACAGCCGTGCCTTGGTAGTTTAGGTGTTATAAAATAAAAATGGTAAGAGATGGAAAAAGTAATAGGGAAGGAATACAATTTCTGGAGGGTGAGAATAAGCATCCCTACGGAGCTTCAGCAGCTGTATTGTGTTAATTGAAAAGCGTGCGTGCGTGTGTGCTATACAGTACATGGAGTGCAGCAGAAGGCAAATTGTTTCTGAACAAGCAGTACAATAAAATCTATTGCATGAGTGGGAAATGAGTCGCGGGGCAGATAATAGGTCAGTGCTAAAATGTGCCTCACAGCGAAGCATTCATAATCTGAAAAAACCTGTTTCACTTTTTTATACGTGCATCTAGTCTGTCACACGGTCCTTTTCTTACTAGTTAATCATAAAGCATATTTTAAAATAAGCTTAGTAATATTTTTTAAGTCAGTCAGTTATTTTTAAAGTTTTTTTTTTTTTTTTTTTTTTAAGCCAATTAAGACTTCTGGTTTTCTTTTAAGTTTGATCTGCTGAGTTATGCGTACTGTACTTGAAAAACACATGCAGACATGTTTAAAGTATGATGTATGAAAGATTAAAAGCTTTTACATATATTTTACTAGAAAAAAGGGAATTGTAGATGTGCTTTCTGACAGAAAAAAAGGCCTTTGTATTAATTTGTTTGTATGTATGCAGAACAGATGGATGAGCTATGAGGATGTCAACACGTATCGACCAAAAACACACTTTCTGTTCAGGGGCGGAGCTAGATGGGGGGCCAGGGCTGGCCATGGCCACCCTTAGCTAATCATTGGCCACCCCTACAATTTTTCCCTCTCATACAGATGATGGCAATAGTAATACTCTCAAGTTGAATATTCAAAACATTTTATTTTTTTGTGGTTAATTATAAACATCAATATACTAACATCAAAGATGATAAATACAGAATGCATCCTCTTCAGAACTAGATTTTGTGTTTTATGGGTTAAAGAGAAAATTATGTGTCTCTGCAAGTCATCTAGGAATCATCAGTGAAATCAAAGATAAAAAAAAAATTTTAATAAAAAACTTAAAAACTTCAACTTCAACCAAAAAAAATCAAATAATCAATTTATGTAGATATTAGTGCTTCTAAATATTAATTTTATGCAGAATGTTTATTGATACAAGTAGGTAAGTAATGACAATGATTATTGATTTAAGCCCCAGAACTCAAAACTGAGTTTTATCCACTATACCTTTTATCTAGAATTACGAGTGTTTAAATATATGCATCTATTTGTTAGCAAAGGCTGTAGTTAGTCTTTATTTAGAAAATATAGATGCTTTGCTCGTTAATGTTCCTGTTGGAACAGTGTAGATTGCCTGAGAGGTTCTGGTGGTTATTGCCTGGCCACCCTTATAAAAAGTTTCTGGCTACGCCTCTGTTTCTGTTGCCACAAAGATCATGAATCAATAGCACTCTTAGATTTTAGGGAATGAGCCGCCCAAAAACTGGAGAAATAGGACTAAACAACCTCTCAGCCAAAAAGCTCGAGCAGGTGATCAACAGCCGAACCACTGAGGAGACCAGAGGTTTTCTTTGTGTGAGCATATTTTTGGCAAAAAAAAATAAATTTCTCTACACTTTTTTTCACTATTTATGTGTAATCTGTTGCTACAATCTGTTGCAAAAAATCTGTGATTATGTGAACAGATCTTATTAACTGCTGTCCACAAATGTTCCCACAAACGATTGGACGATGTTGAATATTGACATTACCCAAAAATGTTCATATCATTGCATAGTAAATTAATAAAATATAAAATAGTTTCATTTAAACTCCAGTTTTCGTTTTCATAATTAACATTTTATAAATGATTTTTTTTCCCTTAACACCCTGAAAGCATTCTGTACTTATATTAAGGCGGAAACATTGACTGAATACTGCAAGTTATTAGATTGCTTGAAGTTAGGTTTCTTACTTTAACTTTTCTTTTTTATATAATGTACTCTGAAAAGTACTTTTTTGTCAAGCATAAATCTAAAAGTATATATCGAGCCAGTATCAGGTTTTCTCCTTGATATTAAGATCAGACTTACACTCATTATTAAACTGGCGCCTTGATAGGATGTATAAACATAAAAGATCCTCGGAAGAATGATCTGTATATCTGATCTGCTTTGCTTTACCCAACAGGTAGGTTCAAACGACTTTTAAACACTGAGCAATCTACAGATGCGCCACAGATGGGTCAGTTTGGCAGGAAAATTGACAAAAGAAGGTAAATGTGAGCTCAAATATACAAGAAGGAGATTTTAAAAAGGAGGCTTTCGTTCTAATCCTGGCAGATTATTAAATCTCCACTGTTTTATCAGTTTGGGTGACAGGAGTTCAATTTTAAGAGCTTTCTTAATGGTGAGAGTACATGGGTTGCTGAGCACGATGACTAATTTTTAATTAAATTTGGGCTGTCAGCTAGCAGAGTGGAATTTATCAGACATTGATTGTTTCGTGAAATCAGGGGATCATATCTGAAGCCAAAACTGTAAGCTTCCTGTTTAAAATCCCATTATCAGAGAAGCATGGGCTGGAGAAAAGGATAAATGGAGTATAAAGAAAATTGTTTTAAAATGTCTTTTGGGGAATTCAGCTGAACTAAAATGTGGTTGCCTTTTTTTTTTTGCTTTTTCTCCTCATGCATAATCCCTGCCTTTTACATAACAGCAAAAACTGCCAAATTTTTTTGTAGAGGGCATTTTTGTTCTGGCCAATAAATTGTAGCTGCAGTTAGTTTTCAGAGTACCATCACCACCAGTACAGGACAAGCTCTTACCCTTTTGAAGTTGCACTGGGGGTTTGGGCAGTGGATGGGCCTGCAGATGGAAACATTGCTGTAGCAGGTACATTCCTGACACGACTCGGGCCGCCATGAGGTGTTATTCTGTGGAGAAAAAGGTTAAAAATCATCACACAGAGTAATTAATCAGCTATACAGTCAAATTTGCTTTAACATTTAGATAATGATAGAGCTGCTGTCATTAGAGCTGCACATTATATTGCAAAAATACCGTAAATGCAAAAATGGAGCATGTAATCTTTATATAGCAGGAGAGTACATAGAGACTGATATTCAGAATTTTTAAAACAGGAGAGTTCGGATCATGCAAACAGCGCAGTTATGTTTTATTTCCTTTACTTTTTTATAAACTATGAGGTGCACTACAAATATCATTTAGCACTGTCATCCTTTTTTTATAATCATCATTATGACCTCCAGCTAAATGGCTTTGAACCTTTACTGTACTTTCTCTGATGATATTACCATGACAAGATTTTCTAAGGTCATGCAGCTCTAATTGATATCATAAATCAGGGATGATGACCCAAGTAATCCATAGAAAAGTGGAACAAAAGTAGGAATAAAAGACTTTTACAAAATCATTGTTGCAAAACATGCAAATGGCATTGGGTGCAGATGCTCCTCTAAAACTCTGAATGTTCATGTGAACATTGCTGTTTTTTTAATCTGAAATATTTGGAAGGAAAGTCCCACCCAGCGCAGGGGATTTCAATGAATTTCAGATCACCCTAAAGCATCACGGGATGAGCTGCCCAAGACCCAAGGAGCAGAAAAGGGTGGAGTTAGCAGGTACAAATGTTTTATAAAAAACAAAGAGCAAACCCCAACCTCATTAGGGATCATGCATGCTAGACTATTTAAGTTTGCTGCAGAAAAAGCATTTTAAAGTTGGCACTATAACTGTTAGGAATCCAGTTTGTGTGGGTTGTTTTGTGTTTGTCTCTCCCTCCACCACCAGGTGGTGCCCTGTCCTCGTTGGTCCTCCTGCACACCTGCGGCTCATTGGTTCATCACCGGGGAGTATTTGAGCCGTTGACTGTCACTACCTCGACGTCAGAGTGTTTGCCAGTTTTGGGTACTCTAGCCAAACTGAGATTAGCAGAGTCTAACCTGTGCTTCGTTTCTCTGAGATTAACCATGTTTTTGTCTTTGCCTTTTGGCAGGAAGCCTTCCCGCTGACTGGAAGTTTTGGCCTTCTCCCCCAGGAAAGATATTTTGTGTTCACACTGAGCTGGGGAAAAGTTCCACACGATCCGTTCAAGTACCGTCTTAAATCTAAGTGTCAGTCCGCTCTCATACTCCTCAGGGTCCAACTCCACCGACCTGTCCGCCCTCCAATGAGTTGCTCTCCCTCTGGAAAGCTCACACATTCTGGATTCAAGGCTTTGATTGAGATCCCCTCCTACGTGAGTCCCTTCCTCCTCCATGCTCAAGAACTCTATTCTGTTTCCTACGGCCATTGAACTAACCGCTGTGAACTTCCCTTCCACTTCTAGTTCCGGTTCAACAGCTCTCTCTGAGTTCAAGATTCCACCTCCTGTTGTCCTCATCAACAGACCCGTTAAACCTTCCCTTGGTTCTCTGAGTGGTTTTCTGCATGTGGGTCAGATCCCTTAAAAGCATCATGACAATAACATCCAGAGGTCTGGGCTGGAGAGAGCTAAACCTACTGCTTTACAATGGAAAAAAATCTAGAAATAAGTTAAATTTACTGTATTTATCCTTAATTTGAGCAGGTAAACAAGATTATTTGCCAATGGAATTAGTATTTTTACTCTTAAAATAAGATGACTAGATAATATTCACTTGAAATAAAACAATGCAGTTGAGTTTTCTTATTTTAAATGTAAATTGTGTTGTTCTATTGGCAAAATGTCTCTTTGATGTCCTCAATTTAAGTACAAATGCAGTTATTTTAAGAAAAAAATGACTTATCTAGATTTCGATTTTTTGCAGTGTACACATCATTGCACTAATGATGTTTGGAGAAGAACTATGACCAATTGCTCCAAAACAGACACAACTTTGGTTGATGGGGTGAGCCATATCACAATGTGTCCCAGAATGGCTGTATATAAAAAATTTAAAAAAGGATTATGTGAGAAGTTTGAATTTTTTAGCAAGACAACGGGCCTCATGCGAGAACTGTTTGTATGAACAACTTAATTCTTAAATCGATTGTACGAGTGATTCTGGAGAAATGCTGGACTCACCATTTGTCTCATTTTTTCTAATCTTCTCTAAGGTGCGAACACATATGTCCTACAAACTTGAGTCTTGTGGAATCAGTCAGCTGAACTTACCATTTTATTAGGCTACATTATTATCTATTATGCTTCTCTGGAGTTTTAAATTAAATTTTTATTGGCTGATGGCAGAACTATCGGTCACTAAACCTGCAGCTAGAATGTTGGTATCCACTCTGGTTTAATTTGATGTTATTTCGTCAAAGGAAAGAACAGTCAGAGATCAAGCTGCTATTGAAATGGCATCTGGAAGAGAAACTGGATTGAAAGTTCAGCAAAGCTCCTCTAATGCTAAGACATTATATAATTTTACGCCTTTGCAGCTCCTTGGCTTTGTTATTACACTAAATGTGGAATGTTTGGGTCTGTCTGAGCTCCTCAAGTGAGAGTTTTACCTGTAAAATTTTTATGTTGATGTGTTGTATGAGAGAAGGAGTGTGAGCTGATGGGATGACAGACATTGTCTGAAGATGTACAGTTCATGTGTGCCTGTGTATTTAATGCAGATTCAGCAGAATTTTCTTTCGTGGTTGATGTTGATCTCATATTAAGCATTTACATCATATTTTACACCTCCTGCGAACATCACTAGTTTTCATTGACTGTTTTTGAATCAAATAATTTTATTTTACTATCATTTATATGTATTTCATTTGTTTTTACTTTATTTTACCTCTGTAACTGTGCAACCAGGTCATTTACAGCTCTTGTAATTTATTTTACTTCTTGGCTCTTTATGGTCCTTTAATTCTGCTGCTCGCCTCACAGTCAGCAGAACCTCGATCACCAAACCTTCAAAGTATTCTTCTTCTTCAAAGCCATTTTTGTGAATAAACACCTTCTGACAAGTGCTGGAAGTCTTTCTTTATATTAAATATTCAGTGGGTTGTCTACTGTATGCAAATGTTCCATTCTCATGAACACATTTTCACATAGGTGGACTGCATCAAGTTTACAAGGATCATTTATGATCATTTACTGAAGTTAAGAATGTTTGTTGAATCTGATGTGGGGCGCTCGTAAAAAGCCCACGGTAGAAAAAGGAAGAGAAATTTACGACAAAAAAACCAAATGTTCTTGCATGAGGCCCAATGATCCTTTAGCCTGTGGAGGAAACTCTCAGAGAACTTAACAGGAAGAAACCAAAGCTACATAAAGCCGCCCAGACAAATCCACCTGGAATCCAAATTCACAGATTTTATCTGTGAAATCTGAGGGTGTAGAAGAGAACATTTAAGATTTGAATATTTATGCAAAAAAACCAGGTCAAAATCACAGCTGAGCAACAGATGCAACTAATTTATGAAAAAATATATTCTCTGTGGTAAAAAAATAGATTTTGTTGGTTTCTTTAAAAAAGCTGTGTTTAACCATAAAAAGCACATATTTATGCATCAAGTTCTGCTTTTAAGTAAAAGTCACAGGATATATAAAATTAACAATACTGTAGGGAGATTTGTTATTAAAAGGTAAATATGCCATGCCTAATAGTCATTGTTAAAAAAAAAAGTTACACATTTTCAGTAATTTTCACTCACTTAAAAAAAAAAAAAAATATCCCATCTGCATGAACCTCCCGTACTGGTGGGTAAGATTTGAATCTTTCTTAATTGGCAGTCAAGAGCTGCTAAAAGTCAGTCTAGGGGCTGCAAATGGCCCTGACTCCACAATGAAGACACTACCAACTTAAAAGTAAGACATCATTTTTGGGATTTTTAGACCTAAAAACTGCTGATTCCTTTGGAAACTTAGCAAAAGTAGTAAAAAGCCTTAAGCTTTGTGGCCAATCAGACACACAGATAAACCAAAGAAGCAAAGTAAGGAGATATCTGCTTTGCCTGCTGGATGCTCCCTTTAACAGGCCGGCTGGTTGCCAATAGCTCATACCATCTGACTGACATTGTCTGATGAGTAGCTTAAAGCCAAAGCTAAATCAATATTCCAGTGCCCGCATATGCCGAAATATATCATCACGCTGACCATGAATCTGTTTTAGATGAATGATTAATGTCCCACTCATGACAGGAATATTCTGAGGTTCATGCAGCATGACCTTCGTCTCCGGGAGGAGACCATCCAATCAGATGGTGCTTCACACCAGGAGGCAACCAAAGCAGACCTTTTTGAAGACATTTACTCTTGCAAATTAAAACAAAAACATGATCGTGAAAAAAAAAAAAATGGATCAAAGAGGGAACTCCAAACGGGGGGCTTGTTTTTACATCTCAGATGAAAGGCAGAGCTTTAAAGGGGCCAGGGGTGGCCATGGCTACCCCTAACCAATCATGGACCACCCCTCTGGACATCCCTAGATAAGGCAAAACTAGAACTTATGCTCTTTTTTTTAGAACTAAATATTGTTCTTTGTTGGGAAAAAGAGACATTTATGAGTCTCCGGAGTCATCTAATATGAAGGACCAACTCTGCCATATTTAAAAATAAATACAGAAATAAATAAATGCTCAATAAATGTATAAGCATACAATTAATTGCCAACAAAAAAGTGAGACATAAATGTATATAACTCTTAATTAGCTTCTTTATTTATTTGCCTTTGTAATATTTACCTTATTTATTTTTCTGTCCTTTATAATCTTCAACTTTATTTTTTAATTACTTATATTTTTAAGTATTTATTTATGTGCATGTTATTATATTTTTGTCTGTTTTATTCTTCCTTTTTATTTTTTTACCTTAGTTATTTCTTCGCCGCTGTTTATTTCTCTCTGCCCTTTTTACATTTCTCTATGCATTTCTGTCTCATGCAAATGAGGAGGGGGTGTGTCCTAGAGAGTCAACTTCTGCTCATTGATTGGCTTGGCGGTCCATCTCCTT